CCTCTCCTTCTGCAGCTGCTGTTGAAGCCTGGTTTAGAGTTGTTTTTTTGTTTACAACAAGGTGAAGACGCTGTGTTTCACATTCTTCCTTCCTTCAGGCTCCAGTGGCATAGAAAATGATGGGTAAAAGTTCAGGGACTGATTGCACTATTCATCAAGCCCCAAAATAAATATAGAAGCAAATATTGCAACATGCTTCTTTCCATACTAAAAAATGACTTTTAAAAAAACCAATTACATCTGAAACCAGAGAAGAGCAAAAAGTATGATTGGTAGTTGGATTTTGCAGCTGAAACACTGCTTCCTAATGAATATAATCTTAAATTTAGATTTGGTTAATGTGTTGTAGTTGAGGAACAAGCATAATGCAAGTGGCACAACCTGTGGCATTGATTAATACCTGTGGTATTGATCAGCCAGATAGATAGGATGAAATAAGTCTACCCTGGGGATAGCATGATTTTAATTTTTAATGCTCTTGAAGATACGCCCTATGGAGTAATTGCTACTAAAATGTGACGTTTATTTATTTATTTTTAAATGATTTCCAGGAATTGTCAGGTTTTAATGGCTGAATATTGATATGATGGTATGGCGAACAGCACAGCTATACTTCCAGGTTATGCCAGGATGAAGAGAAATCTCTCTGAATTTTGGTTTTGCTTAGTTAACTAATGGCAAAGATTCCGTAGGCAACCTTTATCATGAATATTTGGGGCTCTGGAATGATTTTCCCAGTTGGTACATTGTGCACACATGCAGGAGTATCTGGTCAAGTAGAAATAAAAGGAAAATGTCGCTTTGGCCCATTAGGTAGCATTTGGGATTTTTTAATTAATTTTTTTTTGAGAATCTGGTAGTTTGCCTTGTCATTCTAGCAGGTACTTGTGAAATCTGTATGATGAAAAAGTGACCTTTTTTTGGCTGGGGTTGCGATGCAGATGTGCCAAGCCTGAAGTGTGGCTGGTGCAGGCTCATTCTGTGTCTGTGGCACCCAGTGGAGCTGGATGTGCTGCTCCCTGGGGATGCCTGTCCCTGGGACAGGCCGCAATCTTGTGGCCCTGTTAGGAGATCAACCGGGATTTTTAATAATCATCCTGATGCAGGAAAGCTTGAAAATGTCAAACCCCAGTGTGTGGTGACGCTCCACACCAACACCGGCTGGCTGATGGCTTCTGTGGGGGATGGGCTGTGTCCAGCCAGCACAGCCCTGCAGGGCCAGCACTCGGATCTCGGCACACACATCACCAGAAAGCCCGAAGATCACATCCTATGTGCAGTTTATTACGTGTAAGCAGAAAAGGCCTCTCTGAGCAGAAACACAGAGCAATTTGTGGCTGTGCATTTGCCCTGCTCGGTGACAGATGGGACATTGCGCCACAGCCGTGCTGAAAGCTGCCTGGCCCATTTCTCTATCGGCACAAGGCTAAACTGAGGCAGAAAATGCTTTTCTTGCCCGTGCCTCGTGCTCTGGTAGAACAGAAAGCATCCGTGCCTACCTTTCGCTTCACAGAAACGTTCCGGTGTAACAACGCCTGGAAATCCTACAGCGTTCCCTCCCCTCCCCTTTGACACAAACAGCCTTTCTTTGGCTCTGAAGGGGTTTTGTGGGGCTGTAAATCCCCGCGGGAAGCTGTGGGCTGTGCAAGCCGCGTCTCCAGAGCCGAGCTCCGAGCCCTCCGGCTGCCATTGGCGGTGCCGCCGCCTCAGGGCCGGCAGCGGGCGGAGGTTGCGTAGCCGCGACCTCGGGCTGCCCTGACAGGAAGTGCAAAGCGCCGGGAGCGATCCGTGCCAGGGCCGGCCGCTCGCTGCACGCTCAAGATGGATGCCAAAATGGGTTAGTCCCTTTCTCCTGCTTTCTCTCTGCTACGCGCGAGCTCCGCTCCTTGGAGCTCTCGCTTTTCGTTTCTCTTGCTTCAAACAACACAGCGTCGCTCGCTTTAGCTCTTCTTTCATTTTTTTAAATGAGAATTATCAGCTTAAATATATCAGACCGCTTGTTTTTGTCATCAAACCCCGATATGATTTGCTGGGTTTTAAGTTAAATATCTGCAAGGAAAGGACTTTAAAGAATAGAACGCCAAAGCTATGGCAGCACTTGCTTTGAAAGCAAAATGTAACTGGATGAGTTGTGCATGTAAGGCACGGATGGTACAGGACTATTTTTAGACGTGCCAAGTGACAGTTCGTGCTTACCAAATGTAGGCAGCTGTTCTTGTTTTAGAATAAGCCTGTAAGACATGTATTAATATTATTTATTTTATTATTATTCGTATTGTATAAAGTGCAGCTCAGAACTGCTTCCATAAGGAAAGATGTTGTGGGGCCGTTGTTGAAAATTGGTTTGGGGTTTTTGTTTTTCTGGTTTTATTTTTAATCTGCTGTGAATATCTTGCGTGTAAGTTGAAGCCAGAAAGCTGTTTCTAGTAATGCTTTTAATATTTTCCTTTCAAAATAAACGCAAATAACTTGTTTCTGATCAATTGGAGAATACAAATCGGATGAAATACAAATTTCAGCTGCTTTCTTGGACTGCAAAATTACAAAGCAGTTTTTTCAGTGACTTAAACACCGAATTTCCTTTGAGGAATTTACTATGAAACCAGATCCCTATGTCATTAAGCCAGCACTCGTTTGATCGTTCTCTAAAAGGAGTGGAGATGGAACGAGGAGAAATGTTTTATGTGCAGCTTAACTCTGGTCCCGGAGCTCCTGGCGTGGGATTTTTCTTATTGATTACCGAGAACAAAAGACTTGATGGGTCGCTAAAGGCCATTTGGCTTTTGCTGTGTGCTTTAATTCCAGCAATGTACCTTTGTTTCTGGCATTCTGGAGCTGTCATACAGATGAATTACTCTCTTTACATTCCGTATAACTGGGCTAATGCATTAATGCATGGAATAAGTGATTTCCTATGGAGCAGGAGGAACCCAAGGCTTTAAAGCTGTGCAGAGAGGAGGGAGCAGCTCATTTACAGAAATAATGCTGTCTGCAGGGCTCATACTGAATGTGTCACCTGATACAGGGGCAGCACCAAATTCGAGTGCATGGATGCTCAAATTGCAGCATTTAAAAATAAACACAGTTTCAATACTTGCAGCAAATGCTTCAAAAGATATGAGAGGCTTTTTAAAAAAAAAATAAAAATAAGATGCCTTACATGCTTTAAGAGCACAAAATGCACCAACTGGTTTTGGCAAGACTGGTTGGTTGTGAAGATCTCAGCCAGGTGTTGAGGCTCCTTCCAGCTCAGTTTAGGTTTACAGGTTACAAGGATTCTTGGGTCAATCACACAGTTTTGTTGATGTTTAATGATGTAAGGTGTGCAGATACAATAATTAATAATAGATTCTTTTGTGTCTGGAAGCAAAGGAAGAACCCAAAGAAGCAGCTAAATTTTGTGATTTCGACCCACATGAAAGCAGATGTACGATGACTTGATTTTGTTTGATTCTTTACAAATGTTAAGGAAAAGTTGTGTTGCTTGGTGCCTGGACTGGAGTGGGAGGAGGAGTTTGGATTGGAGGTGCTGGGAGAGCAGGAGCGTGGTGGCCTCCGGGCGATGCTGCTCTATCTCTGCCCCCATATGTTTGTGCAGTCACGTGTGGTGGCAGCTCCAGCCCCTGATCTGGCTGGCTCCCGGCTTTCTGCCGTGGTTTTGGCACAGCACAGGCGCCCAGGCTGGAAGAAAGGAGTGGGATGGATGGTGCTGGAGGGGTGAGGCTGTTGTTTCCACAGTGCTTCTGGCCTGTGATAAACTGGAGGTGTTGGTGCAGCTGTAACCTGGCTCTGTCTGTGAGGCTGCAGGAAAACTTCTGCTGAAATGTGAATTAAATGTTAGGGTGGGCTGAAGTTTCTGACTATGGTTTTCATCTTGGAATAACTGGAAAGAACTTCAGCTCTTGAAAGCCTGGGAAAACACACCCCAGCCCCAGGGGCTTTGGCATGTTGTACCTACAAATGGGTTACACAGACTTTGCCCTACAGAGGCTACCAAGTGTTGAATGTTGGTGCTTGACTGTGTTTTTATCCTGCAAGAAATAATAGACACATTCTATTTTTTAAAATATTTCTGCAGTCATCCAAAAAAATCTGTTCCAGGCTGTGATATAGTGTTTTACAGTTAATTTTGGGGATGTTTAGGATGAGGCAGGATTGCTAAATATCCAGTGCAGTAGTAATATGTTTCTGTAATTCATCTTGAACTATTGCTGTTAACAAACAGAGCCGCAGTGGGTGTGTTGAGCCATTACCTATGCCTTGTGCAAGGGTGTACTTTGCTCTGAACAGTGATGCTAAAAATGGCATAATATTGTGTTCTCTAATGAGGGTCACTTAAGGAAAACTAAACTTGGTTTGCAAATGAAGTCTTCTGCATTGGAGCACAGCAGATTTAGCCTGGATTGACATTTCGGGGTGAGTATTCTCTCTTTTGATGGCTCAGTCTGTCACCCATAATCAACATTATAAACTGCTACGGGAATGTTTCCATCAAAAGAAAACAAAGTGAACTGTTAATGAGTCTTTGAGCAGTGCCTTTGCCTCTACCAGGCTTGGGAAGATGTAATGGTTTAGGGATCTGTTGGTGTCTTGTTATCTGTCCTAGCAGGGAGTTGGAATCAATCTCTCCAGGGAGTGACCTCCACAAAATGCCTGCCAGTGAGAGGAAATGAGGCACAAACTGCTGTGGTTCTGGTGCAGAACACAGCACAGCAGCTGAAGAGATGAATTCTGACATTGCTTAAGGGCATCATTGTTATAAAATTTAAACAATTGCATCTGGGGTAATCCTAATAGCAGTAATCCAAATAATCTGAAGTCCAGAGCAGAACCAGCACTAAATAACCTATTTCTAGTTGTGATTTCAGCTCTGGTTTGACAGGGGTTCGCGAGTTCTGCTCTCGGTGACTCTCAGCAGTCGAGTGAATAATGAAAAATTACTGCCTTGATACGAATGCCAAAGTGTCTTGTTCTAATTTCTTACCTCTTTCAAATTGTAGTTGTTGACCTCCTTTACTGGCGAGACATTAAGAAGACCGGGGTGGTGTTTGGAGCCAGCTTGTTCCTGCTGCTCTCATTAACAGTCTTCAGCATCGTGAGCGTCACAGCCTACATTGCCCTGGCCCTGCTCTCTGTCACCATCAGCTTTAGGATATACAAGGGAGTTATCCAGGCAATCCAGAAGTCTGATGAGGGCCACCCCTTCAGGTGAGATTTTTCTTTTAATTTGTGTTGTTTTGGAGAGCAGCAGTGTTGGCGCTGCCAGAAGCAGCGGGTGACGCGTGCTGCAAGACGTTGCATAATAACGTAAATAGACTGCGCTGAAAAATGTGTTCCCCACTTTCAGATTTTCTCAGGAGTCAGACAGTTAATACAGAAAATGGATTGAGGGCTTGGTACAAGGGATGGAAAAATCAGAATAAATGTAACGGGGTTTAAACTGTGACAAAGAGCAACTTTAATATTTTTGAAACTTTTAAGACCTTAAAACTTGTGGTTTAGTGTGCAGCAGTGTAGCTGTGCTCCCCACTTGCGAGGTCAGTGACAGGGTCCAGGTACCCACTGCTGCAGAACTGCCTCAGGAGAAAGCAAACCTCATTAATCTGTGTTGGAGAGCTTGTAGCAGTGTGTGTATCCCATTTCCCTGCCAGCCCTGTCCCACTCTGCCCAGCCTTGCTTCTCCCTGTTATTAATGAGTGAAGTGGCTCAGTCTCCCCTTGCAGCCTTCAGAAAGTCCTCTTTGCCTCTCTGTCTACAGCTTTCTTACAGATATTGTGGTATTCCCTTCTCCCCATCTTCTGTCAGGCAAGGTAAAATGTTTCTGTGGGTTTCCCTCCGTTCCTCTGAGATCACATGCAGTGGCTCCTTTTCCAGTGGAAGAATTTTGTGGGACAAAATTCTGGGGAAAAAACACCCCCTTGCTAGGGTGAATATTCCCCGTTGAAATCCATTTTGCTTCTCATTATCCAAACAAAAAATTCAAGTTTTTTCTTAGCAAGGACAAGCAGAACTTTTTCAACCCATGCTCTTTCTGTAGTTTTTTTCTAAGAATACCAATATTCCTATGTAGCTCCCAGACATTCTTGCCCAGCATCCCTTTTTGTTGCTTAACTTTTTCTGTATAGCTTAGCTACAAGAAGGATATTTTTACTTGAAAAACCCCATGAGAGGAATTGGATTTTTAATGCAGGCACTGAATATCTTGTGGATGAGCTGGGAAGGGTGAGCAGATGGATCCAAGGGTAGATGGCAGAAATGTAGCCTTGAAATGGCCACTTGCTGCAGTTAGCATTTGAAGTATTTTCATTTGTCTTGGACTTGCCACAAGGTCATGTTCAGCTTTGCCTTAAATGACATCCATGGGAACATTGTGCAATTTTCTTATTAAAAAAATCCCCAAACAAAACCACCCCAAAGCAGAATCCCCTAAATGAAAGTTTAACAACTGGAAAATGAGCTCTGTGCTACAGATGTGCTGCTTTGCTCCTTCTGCCTCCAGCATGCACATTAGATAAATAATTCATACTTTGTTTAAGGACTCCAAATTGCCACAGCCACTGCAACTACAGATAAGTGACAGTGGGGTGGAAGGAACATATAAGTGGATAGGGGTTTATATCTTAATGTAAAAGAACTGCTCTCACTAGCTGTAAGATTTTTTTTTTTCTAGCAAATGAGAAATTCAGGTCATTTTGCTGTGCCATATTACAGCTTAACAGTAACTCCACAAGGGCCTTCCAGGGGCAGAAATGCATATATTGCTTTTGTAGGGTTTTTTTTTTCCCTTGTCTTAGCCTGCCCACCTTTTTTTGCCTGGTGCAGGTGAGTGAGTAAATAGCAGTGAGAAAACAAATGGTTCTCTAAGAGTAATTTAGGTTAGTTCTGTTGTTTCAGCTTCCTCACCCTGTGGAGTTTGTTTCTCTGTAGCATAGAAAGGAGGTTCTATTGACACTGTATCTAACACATAGATGAAGTTTGCAGGCTGTTACCCTGAGCTTTCCTGGCTGTCTCCTGCAGGGCTTACCTGGACTCGGATGTGGCCGTGTCCGAGGAGCTCATCCAGAAGTACAGCAACGTCGTGCTGGGCCACGTGAACGGCACCGTCCGGGAGCTGCGGCGCCTCTTCCTCGTCGATGACCTGGTGGATTCCCTCAAGGTGAGTTTGCCTCTGAGGACATTGACCCAGGTTAGCAAAGCCTGCTGCTTCTTGTGGAATGAGCAATGGCTCTGGTTAAGTAAATAACCAGGTGTAGTTTGCACTTGGAAGTGTTTGGCACAGGGCTGGATATCGGGAGCTGCCTGCAGTGATGGGGTAGGTAAAGGATGACTTGATGTGCACATGAGCAGAGCAGTAACACAAATGGAAAGCAGAAATAAGCTGTGGCTGCCTGCAGCTCCCTGTTCCAGCTCCTCACTGGTGCCACTCACAGCAGGAATCTTCTGAAAAAACAAGCTGTGCTCCTGTCTGGGCACTGGGGGAGTGTCACTGATGTGTGTGTCCCTCTGGAAAACCTGGCTCTGGGCTGGATTGTCCCAGCCTGGTTTGGAGTTGGTTTTGTGTTTGTGCTTAGTGCACATTCTCAAACAGAAGTTCTTGTTCCAGCCCCTGGATTTGGGAGTGAAAGCTGCTGCTTTTAGTGATGGGAATTACTGAAATGGGGTTTGCAAATTACTCGACCTAGTGTGAGCAGTGCTGTATAACAGCTTGAGTACATCCACGTAGAATTTAATGGGATTTATTGAGAGTGGCAGAGCACAACTTATTGTGAAGAATAGTAATAAATTAAACAAAATGTAACCAAAAGAAAGAGAAAAAACCCAACAAAACACCCCCAATAAACCCTCCAGAATAAAAGAATTGGCTGAATCCCCTTTAGTTTTGTGCTGGCAGAATTATATTCTCTCTTTTCAAGCTCTAATCACCTTTCTTTGTTTTTGAAACTGGTATTTCCTTTACCCAGTGTAGTGTGTTGTCCACTTCTTTTTCAGTTTGCTTAATCTTCTTGAAAAAACTTGCATTTATCCTGCAGTAAATCCCCTTACTTAGTGCTTTGTAAAGTCCTTTGAGTTGCTGTGGAGTTGGGGGAGGGGTTCCTTGTGAAACGTGGGGGAAAGCAGAAAGACTGTCCAAGTCTTTGTTGTATTTGTGCAATGGCAATCTGCAGGCAGATCTCGGAATCTTACCCAGAGTTTGTAGATCCAGTTTCTCGTTCTGCTCCAAGTTAAACACAGTTTGTGCCAGAAAAGCTGTGCCTGATGCCCTGCAAGGCTCCTGCAGTCAGGCAGTTCCCTCTGGAAGCAGGAGGAGAGGTGTAAGGGGGCCCTGCTGCTCCTGGGACAGATGGATTTTCTCAGGAGGGAGAGAGGACAGTGGAGTATTGGCCTGGGGGTTGTGCAATAATCTCCCTTCTCCCAAGGGGCTTTGTAGGAAAAGCCTTTTTAGGAGCTGGTTGTGCATTCTTTTTCTGGTTGTTTTTAGAGACATGATCAATAGTGCTGCTGCTAAAGTCCTGTTTGGATCTGATTTATGAACAGCACAGGAAAACTGGGAATCACAAGGTCCCTTGTGTTTCTGATTGAGCCCTTTGTGATCTGTGCCTTGGGCTGAGTTAGACTTCTCACACCATTTGTGTAGAGATCCCAACCCCTTGCAGTAAAGGAGAAGGGAGCAGTGAGCAGCCAGCTGCTGTTCCAGTCAACACTGGTCTAAAACCAAGGCCTTCTGGAGGAATTATGTTAGAAGCAGAATTAATTCCAGCCAGAATATCTTCAAGGCACTCTAATCACTTAAAATACTACAGTCCATAGGATAGATGTGTTTATTCAGCTGAACTAATTCCTTTCCCCTCTCTCCTTCTGACATTTTAAACGTTTTATGTAGGTTAATTAGTCTAATTTATGGTAGTTGGAAACAACCCTTTATCAGAAACCAGTGAATGTCAGGACAGTTCACAAGCACAGGTTACTGATTTTGAAAAGTTTGTGCTCGAGGAGAACGTTGGGATTCCAGGGTCTTATGTAATATAATGGCTCTGGTTTAAAAAATAAAAATATCTTGGCTTGTGTAGTTTAAACATCTTCACTATAGGAAACCACATGTTTATGTATAATTCAAGTTACAGAGCTTTAATGTAGAAAATGTCTGCAGGTCAGTTTATTGTGTGTAATAGTTCTGACTGTAAAATCTGTCTTGTTAAGATTTTTTTTCTTCTTTATTAAACAATGCTTCAGTCAGGGAAGTCTTAAAATGGACTAAATATTTATGCAGCACAAGGAGAAATTCCTCACAGCTCTTGAGGAGTAACTGCAGAAGAGCCCTTGCCAGAGCCCCAGAGGAAGCTGCATTTTGTCCTGGTAAAGGCTGTGCTGGCACTGGGCACGGCTGTTCCTGCTCAGCTGAGGCTTTGAGGAGCAGAGCTCTGTATTCTGGGTGTAGCAAAGAAAGGGGCATGGGATACTTCTGGATTTGCCCATTTTGGCTGGCAAAGCTGGGTTCAGTCCATCAGCCCCACAGGCACCGAGGTACCCGTCCTTGGGAGGGTCACACCAAGCTTGGCTCCCGAGCAGCTGGGAGGGGCAGTGTCAGCTCTGGAGCTGGATCCTGGGCTGCCTCCTGCTTCCTTTTTCTTGTCTTAGAGGTGTTTCAGGGAAGGGGATTTTTGTGTTGGTAAAGATCTCTGAGGTGTGTTTCAGGTAAGCTTTGTTGGGACTGTGAGAGGCTCACAGACAGTTTATAAGAAAAAGATAATAGAGACCAGTGAGTATGTGGGGTTGAGATGGACTCCAGGATTGGATAATCCTGTGAGAGCTGCTTGAGATGTCGGGAGGGTGCAGAGAGGGGAGTTGTAGGATCAGGGTCCCTCTCCAATCCAGTACCGTAAGTGAAGAGGATGAAAACTGCACATGCAGCAATTTGACTCTGCCCTGATGCTGTTCTGGACAGACTCTGGGTGGAGAAAAGCTTGTGTAGTCAAATGTGAACTCCTGGATTTTGCTCTTTCTTGAACCATAAATTCAATGCTCACTAAATAGGATAGTTGTGATAATTATTGGACTTTGGGATTGATTTGTGTCTTGTTACCCCTGTGCTTATGTAAACTCCCATTTTCTGCCCTGGGCAGAGTCATCAGCAGTGTTACTCCTGGCTGCTGAGCTGGCTGGGTGGTGCTGAGCTTCAGGAGTTGTGTCCGTGGGGAGCAGGTCATGGTTGGCTGTTGGGATGCAAGAGAACCATTGTGAGCCATCACACACTCGGGGGCTCTTTGCCCAGTGCAAGCTGGTGCCTTTCCTCCCTCTGGGGATGTGCTGCACGTGCAGCCTGTCCAACATGGAAGTGTGAAATGCCTGATGCAGAGAGGTCAGCTCCAGGCTCACCCTGCCACTGCAGGGCAGAACTGGGCCAGGCTTTGAATCAGTCATGGGGGGAGTTCAGCAAAATCTGCTTTATTTACTTGAGAAACCTGGCAGAACCCTTCAGTGCTGGGAATGCTGCAGCCTCTCTGAGGGTTAACTTTGTGCCCCTCCCTGGTGCTGCTTTGTCACATTCTCAAAAGCGCTGACAGATAAAGAACTGCATCACTTGCAGTTAAAGCACCTGAATTTTTAACAGGATCGGTTTTGAGTGAAGCTCTTGAATCGACTTAATTTTGTTGCAGGAGTCATGGAATTAAACTTGCATTGACCATCATGCCCTTATCTTGTTGCTGGCTGTTGATTTTGTTTGGTTTGGATATTTTACATCCTTTGATAAGCTAAAATTGGATGTTGGGATACCTAAGTTCAGAATGCCTTGGCTGCAGGCCAGTTACCAGGGTCCTGGCCCACACTCACAGTCCTGCACCCATGCATTGTTTTCCTTGCCAGCACTTTGTACCCGTCCTTTCCTTGGGTGCAGCTCCCGCCGATGGGAGCGTTTCCATCTTGGCTTGCTCTCCGTGCCCAGGTCTGCCCTCCCTGGTGCCAGTGCCAGCCTTCCCACGGTGTCTGTCCGGGGTTCTGCTGGAAACCATCCCCGTGTGCTGAGCTGCCCAGGGCTGGGGGCTCCAGGGAATAACCGCTGGGAAAGCCGCTGGTCCTGGCTGCTGCTCCGCTCCTCCGCAGCCCTGCAACTCTAGAAGGCAGCGGCTGATTTTCCTTGGGAGGAATCCTGCCCCGAAATAGAGCTGGCAGCCCTGGGCCCCCTCCCACTGCTATAGGTCAGAGGTGTGCCTGGGACACTCCACCTGGCACTAAACGTGGGCAGACCTTTGTGTGGAGCTGGGAAGCAGATTCTGTGTCCCACCAGGAGCTGGACAAATGGGAAGAGGGAACAGGGCTGGGATAGGGAGCCAGCAGTGGTGACAGTGTGGGGCTTTAGGGATGTCTTTGCTTCTGAGCTTGGCTGTGACCCAGAGCCAGCTTCCATGTTAGAGCACTTTTCACTCCTCTTGTTCCTAAACTTTTTAATATCCAAAGTGCATTTTGGGTTTTTTGAAGGAGAAAAGGTAAATGAAGCCCACCCTACCCCGTTATCTTCCAGCCAGGCTTTTCCTGATGTGACAGAGCCTGGTCTGGTCTGGTCCGAGCATGGCTGGGTGGACACTTGGGTGGCAGCAGGGCCACCACACGTGTGTGACCTCCTTTCTCTCTGGCTCTGTCATGCACCAGCCCCTTGGCCTCTCTGAAGGCCTGGCCTGTCCCCTGTCTCTGGAGGATGGCAGGTAGGAACTGTGTTTGCCCATCATTCCTCACTGTGGAATTGGCACAGGGCAGTGTCGGGCGCTGCTGACTCGGGCTGAATTGAGCCCCGTGACCTGGACGCAGGAGGCCTCGTATCCCATGACTGAATCCTTCAGCCATCTCATCAGCCAGCTCTGGTTACAGGAGGTGCACTTTGGGGCTGTTTAGTTTGGTATTTGTGTTTACAGCAAACTGTGGGGTGTCCTGGGCACAGACTGGGTGCTGACAGGCTCTTTTTCCCTTGCAGTTCGCAGTGTTGATGTGGGTTTTCACTTATGTTGGTGCCTTGTTCAATGGTCTGACATTACTGATCCTGGGTAAGTGTTTGACTCGTGTTACACACCTGCCACACCAGATAACCTTGGGGAAAGCAGTGGGGTCTGGTCAACACTGGCAGGCTGATCCTGCAGCCTCAAGATTATTGCATTTTTAGGTTTTTGTGGGGGTTTTTTTGATAACACAACAGAATGGATAATTTTGAGTTGTTGAATTCCTTGAGATTGCTGATTTCCAGACTATTACATTGTTTACAGGCAGGTTTGTTGTGCCTGTCCCTGCAGGATCTGCTGTGACTGTGTCCCACTGCAGGATTTAATTTCTTATATCCCAGAGCAGGCTGGCTTCAGGTGTCAAAACCAACTGATGCCTGAGCAGCCTTTGGGAAGAATTTGCATAACCCACAGTGGAAAAGTGACCTGTGACCAGACTTACTGTACTGTTGCTGAGACCTGGAGAACAGCCCAGGCTTTCCTTAATAGGGATTATTGAATTTACTGGCCAACAATTGGTGCATGGGGCTTAGGAATTCATTTTTCTTGTACCTTTTTGCAAGACATATCAAGGTGTGGAAACCAGTCCTTGTTCTGCCTGAACGCCATCCCTGCTGTCAATATTTATATGTTTGTGCTCTTTTCCAGCTTTGATTTCGCTCTTCAGTGTTCCTGTTATTTATGAGAGACATCAGGTGGGTGTTTAATAGAATTCATTAAATGTTTCATAAAATCAGCTGTGTTGAAGCAAAACTAGAAACAAATAATTCAAATTAATTTCAGTCTTCTGAAATATTTAAAGCCTTTAAAAACAGGCCTTTACCCAGGTGCCAGGGAAGGCTAGTTTAGTTTGAAGCTCAGACTCTGTGTGCTTTCCCTTTTCCTTCTTGGTGTGGAAGAAGAGGTTTCCACAGAAAACTGTTCTGGAAAAGGCCTGATAAACTTGGAGGCCTTTTCTGCTGGTCCAGCTTTGGTCAGGACTTGGAGCAGCACTGGGCATGGTGTGTTGTTAATCCTGCTGTACCTTTTGGAGTTGATATTCAGGATTGGCTTCCCAAAGCTCTGTGGAATTTGTAGCCCTGGCAAAAACAGGAGGTGGGAGCTGCTTGGCCCAGTCCAGTGCTGCTCTTGGGGAGAGACTCCCGTGTAAAAGGAGGAGGGAGGAAGGAGCCAAAGTAAAATGCTTTTGATTAAATTATGGCCAGGGCTGTCTTGGGCAGGTCACTGCACAGGAGCGGGGGGAGCCAGCTCTGGCTCAGCCCTCCTGTCTCCCCTTTCAACAACAAGGCTGCCGTGGGGGGAGGCAGGAGCAGATGGTGGAGCCTCATGGGGCCTGGCCAGGCTCCTCCTCCACAGGGAAAGGCAGCCTGGAGCCCCGAGGCAGGAGCATGGATGGGTGTGGGGCTTAGCCTGAGCTGCAGCCTAAGCTGGTTACCCAGCCCAGCCCAGCTAAGCAGCTTTGCTGCTCTCTGGGGCCCAGAGGGGCCTGGCCCCACACCCACAACTGGGCCTTGACAGACCCGGGAGAAGCCAGGGATTGAGTCCTTTGGGGCTTTGCCCACCGTGCCTCCTGGTGGGTGCGTTCCTGGAGTTCTGGAATCCCACTGGGAAATAGCCCTGGCTGAGCTCCTGCTTCCCCCAGAGCTCTGTGGGACTCAGCCAGGCTCTGACTTGTGTGTGCTTCAATTGCAGGCCCAAATTGACCATTACCTGGGACTCGTGAACAAGAACGTCAAAGATGCCATGGCAAAGTGAGTTGGTTTGGTTTTCTTTATTTCCCTTAGTGCTGATGACAGCTCCTGGCACATGTGGTGCTCCTGGCTAGGACTAATGTGTTCTTCCATGTGCCAGGCCAAGGAGGGAAAAGGTCTCTAACTCTGGACTGGGTGGGAAATGAGCTCCTTCATTGCTGGTGCTGTCCAGAAATGAGCCTCTATTATTTCTAATAGAAATCTGTGTATTCCAACCCCTTAGTGATACCTGAGCCCTCAGCAGGTGCAGTTGAGGGGGGGAATGAGTTCAGCAGTTCCACTGGGCTCTGGGTACAAAGCTGTGTTGAGAGTTCTTTTGCCATGTTGCTGTGTCTAAGACTCCGTTTAACCTTTTCTTTTTTCCTGTTACTCAAATTTAGTTTTGTCTTTCTTCCTCTTGCAGGATCCAAGCAAAGATCCCCGGGTTGAAGCGCAAAACTGAATAAAAAAAGAAGCCTGAAGCAACTTATCAATAGGAAGTTCATCTTTTAAGGGGGAAAAATACTCATTGGATTTACACGGGGAGGGTCAGGGAATAGCAAACCCCTTGACATTGCAGTGCAATTTCACAGATCTTTATTTTTTAGCAACGCAGTGTTTGAGGAAAAATAACTGTTTTGACTGCCATGTGTTTCATCATCTTAAGTATTGTAAGCTGCTATGTATGGATCTAAAACTAATCATCTTTCCTTATCCTGTGTGCAGCACTGGCTAATACAAACGACTGAGACAGCTGTACATTTGCTTCATCAGAGGTAGTTCCTGCTGCGTTCCGGAGGTGTAGAGCAGGTGGGGCAGAGGAGAACACTTCCCAGTTTGTGCACTGTGTATGGTCTGTGTAGATTGATGCAGATTTTCTAAAATGAGATGTTTTAGAAGAATATACCAGTTTAGCAAGTTTTGAAAAATCTTGCCTTTTTGGTATGAGTATAGCTGTATTGTGATTTTATTGTTTTATCAATTGCCAATATATATATATATGTGTTTCACAAAGCTTAGATCTTTCAGCTGCTCCACAGTGCTTTGTATGTCAGAGAACTGACTGAGGCCTGGACGAGCTCCAGAGCACACAAGCTTGAGAAACTAAAAAGTCTCTGTAAACACTGGCATCTGTTGGAACCAACAAAAGAGAAAAGAACAAAGAACCTCCACCTAGAGTAAAAGAAAATTACAGCATACACTTTGTTGCACAAACGTACAGTAGTTGATCTTGAGCAAATACTTCTCCAGCTCTCAGACTCTGATAACTGTGGACCGAGTATCTAATGCTGCAAATGTTGTTTGGAAACTTAAAGCCCTGTCCTGTTATGCAAGAAATGATAAGTGAAAATTTATACACTTGCAGTTTGAGCTGTACTGAACTAAGTCTGTGGAATGCATTGTGAAATGTAAAAAAAAAAAAAACCAACAAAAAAGCAAAAAAAAACCCCAACAACCAGCCCCAAAACCCCAAGTATCAATAAAGCTTATAGACATAAAATAATACCGGTATTTGGCTTTCTTGAGGCAAGTTTAATCTATTTGTGTTTATTTGAAGTTCATTGTGATAAATATCCATTGTCCATGGTGGTGGCAGTAGTGTCCGAGTAGAGCGCGGTGCAGGGTGGGTTTGTCACGGTCCCTTTTCTTTCTCTGCACTGGGAAGGAGTTGCTCAGGGCCAGCTCCAGAGTCCCAGGGAGCTCCAGAGGGTGTCAGGTTCTTGGATTTTTAGACAGGAATGGTGGATGCCTTTTTCAAGTTTGAAGGAAATAAGTCCCAATAATCTTTCCAGGTCAACGTGTTGATTCTGATTGAAGAGCTGGACATTGAAAACTTGTGTACAAATTTATTTGAGATGCAGATTTTAAATGAATGGCATCTTGACCATTGAAAAATAGAAATTCATGCATTAATATTTCAGTTTACAGTAAAATACAGCATTACTTCTGAGCATTTTATACAGGAAGCCAGACCATAGAAACATACAAACCGTAAGTAAGTGGTTTCCTGACAGACACTATTGCTTGAAGATATTTCTCACATCACTGTTGATTAATTCATTCTGCCACGCAACTGGTTTTATTTGGGATACAATCAACGTGGAAGGAAGGCAAACATGAGTGGTTACAACACAGGCAGAGGTGCTCACTGCTGGCACCACCTGACAGAACAGGATTTGATCCCGAAGGTTTCTTTAAAAAACAGACTGCATAGGGACTCGTACTGTGTATCTGACAAACTGCTCTGCTGTATAGTCATATAAGGCATTAATAAATTCAATTGTAAAAAAAAGGTGATTCTTTGAGGTTGCTGAAGCACTTTGTGTGTTAAACAGACAGGAATCCACTCCTTTAATGGGATGTTTTTGCTACTTTTCTATGCAGTGGGCAGCAGAAACGGACTGGCAGGAAGGTTCCAGAATTCAAAAGCCTATTGTCCTGCACTGGGACTAAGCACTATTGCTTTTCAGAGACTAAATGTAAGTCTAAATGTTTTACTTTAGCCTTTATTTCTTTCAATTAAGAAATTCAAATTATTTCAAAATATGGATGTTGATCCATGCCCAGAATCTTAAGTATCTTAAATACATATTTTGACATTGCCCATATTTACTATTCCTTTTTAAACTTCCTCCAGTTCCACTTTTTGAGTCCTGTGAGTTTTTTGTTTTGACAAGATATTCTAACAAATAGTGAAGGGCTTGAGTTGCCTTTTGGGAATATCTGTCCATGGTTCCAGTTCCCCACGGAGGCAGCTCTCCTTTGCTGTCCCTCAGGCCTAGGGGCTCTGTGGGGTGAGGGAGAAGCAGGGACAGGAACCCAGAGTCAGCCAGGAAAAGCTTTTCCCAAAGAAAACAAAGGTGCATTTCCTGGTTGCAGGGGATTGATGTTGTGCTTACAAGCAGCACAGACTGGCTGGAGGGCACACGTGGCCCTGCTCTGGGGACATTGCAGGGATTCCTTTGGAGGCTTAGGATGCCCCCCCAGAACTGGAAATAGGAACTGATGGAGGCTTTCCCACCAGGCCGAGATTCTGGCTGGCCACTGCCTGTAGGAGTGTAAAGCACATTTTCCCAGAAACGGGGAGCATGCAGGAACACTTGGGGAATGACTCCTCAATCTTGGTGTTAAAATCTCTTGAACCAAGTCTGTCCAAAGGCTCTCCTCTCACTCACTGCTGGAGTTGAGCTTGCACTGCTGGCTGCAGGAGCAGCTGCCCAGGAGCTGCCATCCCTTTTTGGCCTTCTGCCAGCACAGAGCCGCTCGCTGTCGGAAACACGGGCAGTTCACTTGTGAAGGAATTAAAAACCCAAAGCAGAAACCAGGGATAATGTAAGTACCCAGCTGGAAAAGGTGAGAATGGTTTAGCCCTCCTCTGGGTGAGAGTCATAGCACCATGTGTGAAAAGCAGGTGGGGGAGGCAAGGCTGCAGCCCAAACTACTAGAAAATTATTCCAAGGCACTTCATGGATAGAAAATTCTGCCAAATATATATATTTAAAAATAAAATGGACTTAAAAAAAAAAGGATACTTTGCTCCTTCAATTAATGAAAGCTGAAGGATGACTTCCCCCCTCCCCAGCCTGCTGTTAAATCCTCCCAGCTTTACTGAGTGCACCAAATTGGAGTTTTAAAGAGGTGTGGTTAAAACCCACCCACTTTTTGAACTTTGTTCAAGCCACAAATTTGGAAATTAAAGGGCCCAGCATTTTGTCAGCGTTTTCTCCCTTTTCAGACACGGTTTGAACAACACAGTATTAGGCAGAAGCAGCTTTGTGAGTGAACTGTTCATCCCTTTGGGATCCCCAGGTTACCCTTCAGACCTCAGCTTCCTTCGCAAGGGCGTTGGGCTTTCCAACGCCAGCTCCCATTCCCTCTCGCTAAGTTGGGATGAGTGATCTGGAAATGTCAGCCTGCAACAGGGCTGGGATTCCTGCAGCCCCAGGGACATTCATTCCCTCGCTGGGGCAGGACAGCAGCAGCCAGGGGCTCCTCAGAGACAGCGCCACACAAACACACTGTGGAGACAGGAGGAGAGCAGGGATTGGCCTTTGGCACAGCCCAGGGAGCCAGGAAAGTAAACACACCGGGTGTGGGGAGTACAGACTGTGTGTGTGTGGCTGCAGTGTGAGCACTGTGTGTGCTGTGTATGTGGGAACTGTGTGTGTGCGACTGAGTGTGCTGTCTCTGTGTGTGCTCTGTGGGCAGTGTCTGCACTGTGTATGTGTGTGCTGTGCCTGGCTGTGTCTCTGTGTGTGTCTGAGTGTATCCGTGCGTGTGCACTCTGTGTATCCATGGCTGCTGTGTGTGTGTGCATTCTGTGCACTGTGTAAGTGCAGTGTGTGTGTGGGATGTATCTGTGTGTGTGCAGTGTGTACACGTGTGGCTGTGTCCCCATGTGTGTGCACACACACGTGTGTGGCTGTGTGCCTTTCTCTGGGTGTATCTCTGTCTGTGTGTGCGTGGCTGTGTCCCTTTCTCTGGCTGTCTCTCTGTGTGTGTGTGGCTGTGTCCCTTTCTCTGGCTGTCTCTGTGTGTGTGTCTGTCCCAGTCCCAGCCCCGGTTACCTGCAGTCGTCCCCTCCGGTGCTCACCACGAACTTGTCGTCGTGTGAGAAGCGGATGTTGGTGACGTGCGCTGAGTGCCCAAAGTACCGCTTGTGTTTGGCCTGTGGGACAGGAGAGCAGCTCAGGGCTGGTGCCAGGCACAGTCTGTGCCCCCAGCCATCCTGAGCCCGAGGCCTTTTCTCTCCTGGGAGCTGCCTGTGGATGGGCCATGCTGGTTGGGTGCTGCAGGAGCTGCCTGGGGCACAGCCCGAGCAGTCTGGATGCCGTAGGAGCTTCCTGAGGATGGCCCACGCTGCTTGGGTGCTGTGACAGCTGTGCCCAGGGGTTGGGGAAAAGCAAAAGCTGCTCAGGTGAAAATCAAACAGGCACTTACAAATTTCTCCGTGCATGGGAAGTCAAACAGCTTGACCAGGCCGAAGTCATCTCCTGTGACTATGTTCAGGCCAGCGTGGGTCACACAGGCACAGTTGACATCTGCTTTATCTGCATTTCGTGGCCAGATCCCAATGACTTCATCTCCAAGAATGCTGTCCAAAATCAAGGTAAATAACATGTATTAGACCATAAGACTTAAAGCCAACACAGGTCAGTAATAAGAAATTGCTGCATTTAAAATAAAAATGTCCCCTCTAAATGACTGGCCTGGGCTCATCATGGAGACCGTCACACATACAGCATTTTTATGTGATTCTTAAGCAATCTCTATCCATTAATCCTTAGGTTTATTTCCCAGGAAACACTGGCATCATTCTACACCAGCACCTTGTGCAGCTCTGGTCTTCCTCTGGGATTTCTGACTACACTGTTCCTTAGCCATGAGTTCCTGACTGAGGGAATGCTTGTTTGCATATCCACTTGTTCTCAGAAATAGCTGTTCTGCCCTGGCTTCAGTTCTCTGTAATCATTTACCCACAGAGTTACAGCCAGGGGCATCTGCCCCCTCCTAGCAGCTGTCAAGAGTCCTCTGAAATGGTGAATTTGGGGCAGATTTTTGTGCCAGCAGCGCAGTTAGAGTAGGAGGATTCTCATTTTACCTTCTCCTAGCCCTGCCTGGTTCTCACCCACTGCCAGCTCTGCCTTTGGCCTGTCCCACTTCTCGCAGGCGGAGCACAGCCACAGTTCTGCAGTGCTGGGAGCAGATTCCTGTGTGCATCCACATCAGGAACTGTTTTAATGACACAACAATCAAATGTTTCCAGGCTTCCATGCTGCTGGTGTTTGCTGATGTGGGACAAAGCTGCCTGGAGTGGCCCAGAGCCGTGTGAGGGGCCTGCCATGAGTGGCAATGAGCCACTGTGGCTCTGTGACAGCCCCTGGTGTAGTTAGCAGCACCAATTACCGCAGACACCGAGCAGCCACGGCTGTGTGTAAAACCCAGGGGTGTCAGAGCTCTGAGGAAGCAGAGGCTGGGTGTGCTCCCAGGTTTGCCAGGCCCTGGGGACGTGTCAGCACCGACACAGCCAAAGCTGGGAGCTGGCCCCACGCTCCTGTCAGGTGTTACCTGGTCCACGTGGCCCAGGTGATTTTCTCTATGACTGCAGGGTCTGTGATTTGCTTTCCCAGTGGCACCTCGTGAACTTGACGCTTGTAGGCACCTGTGGATACCTGAAAGTGGGAAAGGGAAAAACTGGAAACTCTGCTATAAATACATCATTTTCTTCATGAGTTCCAGCAGTCTTAACAGGTTTTATCATAAATTAACCATCTAGCATGACATTATCTTTTTTCCTCATTATCTGGAATTCATCACGTGCCCTATAAAGAAATAACAAAGTTACAGGATGATGATGGAAGGAGATGTTCACGTGCAGAGCTGACATATTTTCTCTCCTCTACTTTATCTCAACCTAATTTTACTAAATCAGAAACATTTCTGAAGGAAACCTCTTCAAATCAACAATTTAATTAAAACAAATTAACCCAGCTCTCACACACATCCCAGCCTCAGGGAGGAAGAGAACTGCTTTCATATGGTTATAATCCACAATTTGTGTTTAGCATTGTTCCCATTCCATTGATGTAGGGTGATGCTTTGCCGTTAGCACAGCTGGAGTGCTCCAGGGGCTATCCCAGACATACCTGGATGTACCTGCTGTCTGCAGAGAAGTCCATCTGTATGACAAAACTGGCAATGTCCTTGCAGTAGCCAATTCGGTTTAGGGTTGTGCCTTGAGTGAGATCATAAAAATCCACAGTATGTTCTTGTGAGCCCACTGCCAGAAACCTGTTATCTGGACTGATCCTAGACAATAAAACGTGGGGTGGGATGTCACTGGCTGGTTCAGTGCAAGATTTGCATTTGCTAATGTGACAGTAACTTTTTTTTAATGGAAAACACAAAAAACCTATCAACAGCAAGACTGAGCCCAACCCCAAACTTGATGCTCAAGAGAAGAGGAAGACTCAGGATATCTCTGACAGAGGACAGGGTTAGATGAAATTTTGGGAAGGAATTGTTGCCTGTGAGGGTGGGCAGGCCCTGGCACAGCGTGCCCGGAGAAGCTGTGGCTGCCCCTGGATCCCTGGAAGTGTCCCAGGCCAGGCTGGATGGGGCTTGGAGCAGCCTGGGATAGTGAAAACGTCCCTGCCCATGGCAGAGGGTGGGATTGAATAAGCTTTGAGGTCCCTTCCAAGCCAGCCCATTCCATGACTCTGTTCTATATTGTCTGTGGTTAAATGATGTTCATGTTGCACTCCCATAAAGCCACAGCATGGAGTGTGCAGAGTGACAGCAATCCTCTTGGAGTCAGCAACAGGAACTGCAATCTGCAGAATTCATTCCCATAATTACAGCTGTGCAGTGTGGCTGTAACTGAATTAAAACACCACCACAGTGCCCTTCACCAGCTCTCACAGCTTTCAACTCACACAGGCTTACAAAACCTCTGCAAATCCACTTGGCACTCGAAGGCCGTTTCCTCGAGCCTCGTGTTTTGAGCACCTCCTACCTGATGTCCTGAATTGCAGATTTCCTGTCCCTCTTCTTGCCCCAGACCTTGAGGCTGTTGACCAGCAGGACGACGAACTCTCCGTTCCTCATGCCGATGGCCACCATCTCGCCGTCGGGGCTGTAGGCGGCGCAGCGCGCGGGGTGCCCCAGGCTCACCTTGTTCACCAGCTTCTGCGGGGACACACGCAACAGGCTCACACCTCCCCAGCACACGGACAGCTTCCAAACACAACGTGTATGAAACTTGCTTAATTAAAAACAAATCGTCTCTGTTTCCCTCTAAACAGAAACCTGAAATGTCACACCGAGACTCGCATCCCACCAGGCATATGTCGCTAGGCAGACTTCAAAATAGAGATGTGATTCGGATGGGGGGTTCATGTTTGCATTATTTTGTAGACTGACATCCACTTTCACACCAGAAAAAGGACTTTTTAGCAGGAGCTGAAAAATCTATTTCCTAATTTGTTTCAAGGGTGGCTTTGACACCTTCAACAAACTGCTGATTGGCACAGAGCTTTCCAATTCCAAACGCCCTAGAAAGTTCTTGGATTTTCACCTAGCTGGTTGTATTTATAATATATTCGTTTTTCTCATTCAATTAGTTCCTGATAGCTCAGGTAACAAGCTTTTGAAAAGGTTTATGCTGGCCAAAGTGAGCAGAAACATTTTTGGTGGGTTTTTTTTTTCCAAATGTTTTATTTGTTGTTTTTAAAAATGGTTGTTAGTCAATTTGGCTTGGAAAAATCCCTGAGGCAACATGCAGAGTTCCAAAGGAAGGCTCTGAAGGGGAGGGAGCCGTGCCTGCCAGGAAGGCAGAATGATGGCCAGGGGCTGTGTGTGACAGCACAGTCTGTGTCACCCAGACTGGCAATGTGGAACTAAAACGCTTCCTTGGTCCCCCAGGCTGCAGATTTAGATCACAATAAGCGATGCCCATCAAGAGGCACTCCATGTGTGTGTGCTGGTGAGTCCCTGCATTCCTCTGGGAGTGATGGCTGTGGGACACCTCTCCTGCACCAAGGATTCACCTTCACACTCACAGCAAGGAAAGAACTGGGGCCAAACAAAGCCAAAACCTGCTCAGGACAGAGGCAAAACCCTGCTCTCATCATTCCAGAGCTGCTCAAAGGCACAGCTGGAAAATTGTGTGCTTGGATAAAATGTTCCTTTGTAATCGCCCTCTCTTACATTCATGGTACTCACTTTGTCCGACAGGTCCCAGATCCTGGCTGTTCCGTCATTGCTTGCAGAGATAAATATGTCTTTGGAGGGGTGAGTTGCCAAGCCCCAGATTTCCCCTTCCATATGACAGTCAATTAACAAGTTTGAAGCAGCATTTTTTTCTCCTACTTCAAGGATTTCTCCATCTTTTGTTCCCACTAAGATTTTCCCCTGTTTGTAGGCAAAGAAAAGGAGTGGAGAGAGGTGGTCAGTGTAGCAGGAACTGCCATGGTCTAAACTGCCACAGCTTCCTTGGCAAATACTTGGAAATGCATGAACAGATTAAGTCTGTAATTGGTTAATGGCTGCTTGATTGGAAAGATAAAACAACATTCCTCAGAGGTGGTGTTATCAAGGAATGTGTCGGATTCCTGGACAAAATGCAATAGAGACAACTAATAACGGCTGGGAGGTGCCATCCTGTGCAGCATCACAGCTCCTTTCTCATTTACAATTCAAACACATGCAAGCGTGACTGCAGCAAGTCAAATCACTCTGTAATTTCCACTTTACCAAAACTCACGGCCTCCCAGTAACTCCCAGTGGGGGTTTTGTGGCTTTAAAGACCAGAGAGAAGCTCAGGGAAGCAGCTGAGGCCGCTCCTCACCTTGCCCCGGCACACGGAGCGCACGCACTCGATGAGCTGCCCGGTCTCCAGCTGGAAGGCTCGGCACCGCTTCATCTCCTGGTCCCACAGCTTCACTGCTCCTCCCTCCTTCGTGCTGCAAAGGAGGCTTGCTCTTACCTGCAGGGCTCCTTGACACACAGACATCCCAACAGCATTTTTCTACTTGAATCACAAAACATACATTGACCCACCCTCCACTCCATATCAGGACACCTCGTTATGGTGCAATGGGAAGTAAATAATAAAACAATTAAATGCTTTCACACTTCATGTTTTAAACAGCACTGTGATCTGTACAAACCAAACTGTTGTTTCTCCTGCCACTAATCTCAACTCTCTGTTTCTTGTGGTAATCCCAACACCTGCAGCATCTCCACAGGGAAAGGCTGTCTGTAGCTTGACAGAACAAAAGAAGGGAACTCCACTTATGGCAGGAGCTCAGGCAACGAGAGCTTATCCAGGTGTTTGGATCAATCCCAAAGAGGTTCAGTGTGGCCCTGCTGCAGAACTTGTGCCACTGTGGCCTTCAAGTGTCCTCCTTTAGTCCTTCACTTACTGAGCCACCTGGGCAGGTTATGCAAAACTGAGAGTGAAACAGCTACAGCATAGAGACTGTTAATCTCTGGGGTGCTGGATAGACAATGAAAACAAAAACCACACAAGAGAGACAGAAGTTGGGCACTTTAGGAAGATCCTGTGTCTTACGGCCTCTCCTTCCCTCCAGTGACAATGAGCCCGTCCCGCAGAGTCGTGTACATGGTGAACACTGGTCCCGTGTGAGCCTTGGCCACCAGCCTGACCAGGAAATGATCCTTCCACACGTACACATCTCCATTGATGGCACCAGTGAACGTGAGGTTATTCTGCAACAGACAGCAGCAATCTCTGATACAACACACACCTCGGCATTTTTGATCAGCTTCAAGTCAAATTCTTTAAATGAAATTTAAAAGTCCTTAATGACCACACTGGGTTGTCACCACTGGTGGTATCACGCTAAATACCATTAGCAAAAAAATGATACGTGAAATAACAGATCAGAGTTTAAATTAAACAGATAAATAACCAGCAAAGTTAAAAAAAATACAACAAAACCAAAAAAACCCCAGGGTAGTAGGTGTGCACAAAACTTAATAGAAAACATCCACCCAGTTGTGCTCAGGAAATTCAGGGAAGCATCTCAAGGTGCACAAGTTTTAAATCCACATTTCACTAACAAGCACTGGGTTGGATTTCAGCAAAGAAAACTGACCCTTACAGGTTTAATACAAAGGCAATGTAAAATCCTGTAGCAGGTAATTTGAACTCACTGCTCCAAAGGCAACAGAGAGCATGGTTTGCATTTTGGCATCTTCCATGGAACCAATGACTCCTTTCTTGTAGAGCAAAGCGCTGCCAGCCAAGGTCCAGAACTTCATGTGTTTGACCCCCACGGACACGAACTGAGTGTCAGAATCCGGGCGGAACTCCACAACAAAGATCCTCTCCAGGTGTCCTCCCCTGCTGGCAACTTTAGCCCCTGGTTTCATCAGGAAAGGATAAAAACAAAGTTGAATTTACCTGAGGAATTAAGCTCTGATATGATTTTGTCAATTAAATTGAGCTGGTATTGGATTGGAGATCCCATATGCTGAAAGCTGCAAATCCCAGCACTATTTAGTGTATCAAACATCTTAATGCAACTCCCAAAGTCCCTGGTTATTCCATTGCACCCCACAAATTTAGGAAATGCAGATTTGAGGCCTTCACAGCACAATCTGTCTCCTGGGTCAGTGAAATAACACAGAAATGTTGGCTATCGTCTGGTGAAAAATGCACAGTGACACTCTAATGAGCTGAGGCACTTTTCCTCCCCCCTCCACCATTTCCAAAGATAATGCTTTTCTGGAATTACTTCCCAAAGGTCTATCTCCATCTCAGTACTTGAAGTGTTTTGGGAAAGAAAAAGAAACATTTTCCTTAATTTTGTGTAATTTTATGTTAAGCATCATTCTTTCCTTAATTTCCACTGACAACAGGTGTTTACAACTTATCTTCCTGTTCATATTTTCTAGCCCTTTGCCATCTTTAACTGATTAACTGGGATACTCAGACTGAGGACACAAAAGTCCAAAGGCTTGAAAGGCAAAGGCAGTCATTGTGCACAGCTCTGTTAGGCTGAAGAAATGTGATTTCCCCCTGGTTTTTACCTTCTTGCCACCTCCAGACGGTGATGGTGTGTTCTGGGTCAACTCCCACTGACACCAGAAGTTTGCCAGTGGCACTAAAGTTCACGTAATTGACCCCTTTGGTGTGGAAGCAGCGCAGCATGGAAAGGGTTTGCTTGCTCATGGCATCCCATATATGAATTGTGGGGGTTGTACCTGCGGGCAGAGGGAGGCAGAAAAACACAATGAATTCTGGAGAGCTTCAGTGCAAAGCAGGCATTTTTCAAGAACATTTAACCTGGACAGACATTAGTTGGGGGGGTTGGATTTGTTTGAAGATTAGCACTACTGGGAAACAAAGAGAAACCAAAATAGCTCGCAAAACACAGGGAGGGAATCATTGTAGTCCATGAAGTCAGACAAGTTCTAAAAGAACAACGTAACATTCATGAAGAGCCTCATGCAAAAGAAATTGCCTGCAGATGTTTCACTTGTATCCATGGTTCACACAGATACAACGAGGCAACATGGAACTCGTACAGGACTCTGCTAAATTCACAAACAAATCAGCCTTACCTGGGAATTCTGTCATGTCACCTGCATTGTGAGAGCAATGGCAAATGAGGAAGCACCAAGGGAAAACAATAGGTGAAATAAGTCATGTGACTCGTGCTGAAGTGCCAGCATCAGCACCAGAAGGAAAACAAAATTAAAAACTTGGGAATGGATATGGATTAAATCAACAAAACAAAGAAGCAGGAATATTGTTGAACTTTTTTGGGTATATCGGCTTTTATACACAAATATTGCAACAATATTTAATACTTTTAAGTTTTAAAAATGGTATCTAAAAGAAATGTTAAAGGCATGCAGGTTTTAAAAAGTGTTACATTCAGAAGTGAAGTGATTCTCGAGTTATACCAAGTATCACCCAAACTCAGAAGCACTGATCTCCTGAGGCCTAGAAAAGGGCCTTTAGCCTTTTCCACATCAAAAATGAGAGTTTTGCACAGCTCTGGCACCCCAGAGCAGGTTTGGGTGCTCCCTCCTCATTCCAGCTGCAGTGACCGTGCTCAGGACAGGCAGCAGAGGTTTGTGTTTGGCACTGTGTTCATCACTACCATTCCCTGCCCCTGCCCTCAAGGTATGGATTCCATTCTCCTTCTGGAATGGGCTGAGGAGACGTTCTGACCCCGCTCTCCTCCATAAAGGAAATTATTCCAGCATTAGGCTGAGAGGCAGCAGATCCTTCTCAAGGCTTGGGACAACTCATCCTGCATTCCCCATGGAATGTGTGCTCCTGCAGGACTCTGCAGGTAAATAATAAACACACAAATACACGTGGTTTCTCAGCTGGCCCCTGGGACGTGCCCTAACCTCTGCTGGGATCTCTCTCTGTTCCTGGCCTTTTGTGTACAGCTCCTGTGTTCCTGCAGAGGAAATGATGCTCAGTGTATTCTCACTGCTAAACAGTGCCTTGAACACAAGAAGGAAAAAAAGAATTCTATAAATCAGATTATTGAGATGGTTAGGCAGTTTATCAAAGCTTGCCTTCTGAAATATGATTACACTACAATTAACTCTAAAATCCAATCACAATCAGAAAGGGAATTGAAATAGTAAGAAAACCCTGGAGCTTGATTACTTCTTCCAAATCAAAGAAAAAGTAAAATTCCCCCACAGAAAAGCCCCAAATAAATCAGTGCCCTGAAAAGAGTGAGGAAGGTTTGCCGTGGGGGTCACGTACCGATCTGGCTGGTGGCCACCACGTTCTTGTACTTGGGGTGCTGGTTCACCGTCAGACACAGGATGTCATCAGTGTGCTCCAGGTAGAAGCTCTGGCTGCCTAACAACATCCAGAGAGGATTTCAGTCACCACAGGGAAGGGTCACCACAGAAGCCCAGAGTGTTTGGGCAGCCTGGTACAAACTCTGCTGGGGAGGAGGGGCCGCTAAGGCTGCCCTGCTCTCACCCCCAGGCACCGCTCCCGAACGCACTGTGCACACAACCATCAGCACACACAGTGGTGGGTACTAAAGCAATATCTGGGAAATGATCCACCCAGCCAGGGAATCAGCCCACAGCCACCAAAGAAACACCAAAACTGCCGATGCAAGCCCAGGTTTCCCAGTGAAATCCCAGTGAGGGGGGAAACAGAGGGGAGGACAGATGGGGTCATCCTTGTTTCCCAGCCCACAGAGGCTGTCCTAGGACTGGAGTCCCCAAAGGCCACCTACAGTGGGTTTGTGCTACTTATCAGGATGAAAAATATGAGAAAGTCATGGGAATATTAAAAAGTTCAGACTTGTGGTCAAAACCATTTTCCTTATAAAGCAATTTTATCTCCAAGTACTGTTTCAAGTGGAATTACCAGTGGAGAGGTTTTGGACAATGCCTGCTGCAGCTGTGTGGAAAATAATGTCAGCACCATCGTTCAGGTAATGGAGGTTGTTGCGACAGTCAAATCCTCTGTATCCAAACACATGGTCTAAAGCCAGCTCCTGGCCCAGGAAAACAAAGAGAACAAGAGTGAAATGAAAGGGAAAACAAGGGGATTTCAGAGTCTGGACCACTCAAGGACAATTTTAAATGACACAAGTACAAATATCTTGTAGAGGCAATAGAATAACAAAACAATAATTAGTTATCCCCACTCTGCTCGTTTATTGAGGCATAACATTATCAGAGGCTATCAACAACTTTTAATTGGTCACCTAAAGCACTGCACTTATATTATTTTCTTTTTTAATTACTCAGAGGGCTATAAATGTTCCAGTTCTTTAAATTTCCATTCCAAACAGATACAACTCACAGAACATGTTTGATTTTATTGCTCTTCCCCTCACAGTTTAATATTTATATAGGCTATCAGGTATTTTAAAGAAGCCATCTGCAGAGTTTTCAAAAATCATTCTCATAAATTACCAAATTTCCACAGACCAAATTCTGACCTTAAACTCCTTCAAGGAAGCCAGGGCAGGCTATAAGTAACTCTGTAATTAAGACATTAATCAAAGGTGTAATTGCAGCTTACAAGGAGCAGTTGCCAAGGAAATTTCCTGCAGGAACCCAGGATGGTTAATGGATTGCTGTCAGAGCTGCCTTGGAGCCCTGAAGCCAGACTTAATGACTGTCCCAAACACAATCACAGCTCACTGGGAACAATCCCAATTAACCACAGACCAAGTGGTGCAAATTGTCCACACAGGTCACAGAGTATTCCTTGTTCTGCACATTATCAGGGACTTCAAACAAGTTGTTTGGGGAGAAGTTCCAAAGTCAGTGAGCAAATTCCAGCATTCAAAACCCTGCACAGGACTTTTCCTGGGCCAAAGTGCTGCTTCTGGATGTATTTCCCTTGGGACTGAGCAGGGAGCATGGGAATGCACACACTCTGTGATTGTATCTGCCCTTCACTGAGAGACAAACCAGGGATGGATTTCACCCAGCACATGTTACTTACAAAGAAATTTGATAAATATTAATCCTCACCTCAACCAGTTTCTTTTTTTTGTTGACATTGTTCTTCTGCAGTTTCTCAGGCTGAGGAGCAGCTCTGCTCACGGGTGGCCTGAAAAGAACATTTAAGAAAGGAGACAATCAATATGTTTGAAAGTAAAACACAGTCTTCAAAACCACAGCACATGTGAGCAGCAAATGGACAGTTGCCCCTGTATGATTTTTTTCAGGGTTGTACAATAAACTGATTAAAATCCTGCACTTTTGGAAAGAAAGAGCAGAAACATTGATGTAGACTTTGTGGATGAGTGGCAGAACAAACAAAAGACCCCAAACCATAATGGTTTAAAACCATGGAAAAATCCTTGAATATGAAATGATGGCAAATTGGTGCTTTCAGAAATGATCTGAAGCAATTTCTGCAGCTGGCAGTTGACCTCTGCCCGGCCTTGCTTCTTCTGAGAAACCCCATCCCAAAACCTTGACATGGCTTCAATAAAATCTTCTCAAAATCATATTAAAGATAAAATGGTTGCATTTAAATGCACAAGTCATTCATCCAAGGGAATTTGGGAGACTGAGGCCAGCAAAGCTTTTTGATATAATTATAGTTGCTAAAAGTAGCTGAAGAGACAAATGCAGAACACGGGCTGAGACAAAATCTGATGTGTGCAAATGGTCTGTAAGGCCACGTAACCTCTGCTGCTGCTGTTGATCCTGCTGGGAAAAGAGGGACAGAGCTAAGGGGAGCACTTGGAAAGCATTCCCAGAGTTTACAATTCCAGTAAAATGTGACCTTGCAATTACATTCCACATGCTGTGAAATTTGTTCCCGTCCCAAGACCGTAACTACCAGTAATTCCCATTTTGCAAAAAATTAATTGGAGAAGAATGAAATCCCTTTTGTGTATAGGGAGCTGCTTCTTCTGAAGCTGGATTTTTCATGGAAGGTGTTAAAGGCACGGTGGGCAGAGCCCTGTGGGATTGAGCAGCAGGACAACCCGAGCTCTGAGCCAGCAAAGCTGGAGGTCACCAGCCTAACCCACGTCCCAGGCACACAAGGACCAACAAGCACATCAGCAGGTGAGCCCACGACACAAAGAGAGTGAAAGAATTACCTTGATCCCCTTGAAAGCAGCAAATAAAGCCAAGCAAGAAACTTAATAGAGTTTAGGAGTCACTTCTGAGCACGAGACTCATGCACAAGCACTTGGAGAGCGCAGCAGTCATTCCTTGGGCACAACACATGCTATCCAAGCATGCCAGCAAGAACTAAAACAGAAACCAAAGAGTGCACAGACCCAGAAACATCGCACCCGGCATCCCTGGGCAGGCTCAGAGCCAAAGATCCTGCAGGATGGAGGGGAAAGGGGAGCTACATCCAAGCTTCCTGCACACTTTGCACCTCAGCAGAACGGGATTCCACGGCTGGTTTATTTTCAGGAGCCTGACAGGGCTGGTAGGAAGCTGAGAGTGTCCCAGGCACCGCTGAGATTGCACACAATGGACAATTGTTCTCTATCCCAGCTCGGCTGCAATTTAGCCCACAATTGCTGTGGAGAGGCCAAGTCACTCCCAGGACAGCCTGTCCTGCCTTGTCCTCAGGGAACAAGTACCTTTATTTCCTCAGAAAGGGTCACTCGAGTCCCCCAGAGTGACCCTGGGTGGAGCAGGACTGACAGCAGTGCTGCCACCGGCAGGGAAGGGACAGAGGAAATTACAAAACTCTGACAAAATAAATTCATTATTTCATTTCAGCCCAGATTTATGAGGGCCTCTGAACTGGCACTTAGGAAAACAATTGTTTTCTTGTATGCTTTTTTCTGTTTTAGTGTTATTTCAAATTGCATCGTTTCCACATTTCTTTACCTAGGAATATCAAAGTTTATGACAAGAGCAAGCCAAAATACTTCATGAAAGCAAGAGAACACTACCACTGTGACATGCTTGATAGTCACCAGATTGTAAGCATGAGGCTGAATTTGGAGACACACACACACAGATACTTTTATAGATACCTAGGCACAGCACACACAAACACAGATGTTGTGTGCATTCATATATACACGGCCATGTATATATACACACGTGTGCATTCACTGCCCCATCACCATCTCAATCAAACAAACGGAAAGCAGCGCATCTGAAACATTTTAAGAAGTCGTTTCACTTTTAACAAGCCTGTGACTACACCTAGTTTGTTTTGCTACAGAAGATGACACTGGCAAGACAAGAAATTTGCACTGTAGCAAATGACATCCCTTTGGCCTGTTGGACCTGTGCAACCTGCAAGGCACATTCCCAGCAATCCAGGCCTCGGCTGGGCTCCCCAGCAGTACTTACTTGACAATTCCCTGCCTCCAAAGGAAAGCAAGTTAAAACATAACACAAGCATTAACGGTTTCTTTGCAGCAATTGAAAACAAACGTGCTTAGATTACGTTTATGCCATGGAGGAGCTCTGCGGAAGATAAGACACAGTCAGATATTAGAGGCTTTCAGTTCTTTGGGTGTTCAGCAGAGAAGATTTCTGTTACTCATGGCAATCTCGAGGATGTTCTCACGTGAGGACACGCAGTTGTCAGTCAGGGATAGAAGTCCAGATCCAAACTGACAAAACCTCAGCACTACCTTCATGCAGAAATGTGAAAGGATGTGAGTGAACTTTCCCTCCAGCCACCAGGGGAGAGAAGCCCAAACCAGGGCTGGGGTGAGCAGGCAGCACCAGGATGGAGAACAAGAGATGGACACAACAAGAGCTGGGCTGGGGGGAAGAGGGATGGGGTTTTGGAAGAGTGGGGCACCTTGAGAGAGGAAAGAGATGTGATCTTAGAGAACAGGGCCAAACTATGAGGGGAAAAAAGCTAAATCTGTTTAGATGGAAAATAAAGGTCAAAAGAAAAAGCAGAACAAAAACTGTTATGATAAATTCCATGGGAGGGGGATATAACCCACTCCTGTTTCCAGGGCACAGGGCAGAGTCGCTGTCTGGGGAGAACACAAACATTCTGCTCTGAGGCCAACGGGAACAGCATAGGAACTCCAGAGACAGCCTCACATGGAAGGGACCAAGCAGGTCTGGAGCAGGGACAGATGGACAGGAGTGTCCTGCAAGCCAGAAGGTGACAGGCAGGGAAAAGCTTCGAGCCCAAAAGGGAGACAGACATGGATTTACATGGCTGCAAACTGGAGAGGGAACACACCTGGATCTACACAAACACGAGCAGGACTGCTCCAGAGAAGAGAAAGCAAGGTTCAAGGAGAGGTGAGGTCGGTTGGGTTGGGCAACAGAACAAAAATCCAAGGTTTAAAAAATATACTGTTCATTTCAGAAAAACATTTAAAAGCAGCTTTTAAAAGTGCCCTTCATCAGTGACAGGAGGGGACTCCCAGGTGCCCTCAAACTGCTGCAAAACTCCTTGAGCTTTGTTTTTAATTCCTTCCCAGAGAAGGGATTAAAAGATTTTGTAAATTCTAAACCCTTGGATTTTCCCATCCCAACGTACATAGGAGTTTTACATATAACTTTTCCTGCTGTTACTTTTGCTTTGTAGCTATCTTAAGATAATTTTCTATGTAGCTGTCATAAGACAACAAGAAGAATAAGATTCCACATGAAAATACCCTACTTTCAAATAAAGCAAAGCAAAGCTCAAACAGAACAAGAGAAACATCAGTGGTAAATTATGTTTTTAAAGGACTGACAAAATGGTTACAATATTTATAACTTCACATGCATGCTGATGCACTCTTTTAAATAAAAAATGTTAAAAAAACCCCAACAAAATCAAATCCAAAAGTACTGCAGGACATGTGGTGGGGGCAGCTGCTGTCCCAGGCCATCAGGGCAGCTGGTCACTGCATTCCCAGGTCATCCCAGCCCAGTGCCCAGTGCCAGGAGCACTACAGCAGTGAGTAAGGAGGGCAATCACTGCAATGAAACCTGTGGGCCTTTGTCCTGAGCAGCCTGGGGAGGTGTTCCCTGAACAGCTCCTGCAGCAGCAGGACCTGCTGTCCCTCACACCTTGGACACTCCTGGGCACATTGTCCCTCACACACTGGAGGAACAGAGTCTTTTCCACTTGTTCTGTTATTCCCTGCATAGCTCCAGCACGTTTTGAGGCTGTGCTGTGTAAATCAAACCACAGAACCAATCCTGTATGGCAGAGCCTCCCTGTGTGTGACAGCACATGGGAAACACGGCTTTTCCATCAGCCCTGCGCTCCCTCCTGCACAGCAGCCCTCAGGAGAGCTGAGTGCTTCCCATCTCCCTCAGCACAGAGAGCACTCAGGTGCAGAGAGAGAAGCGGTGGGAACACGTGCTGACCTTGGCACCCCTCAGTTCCAGCCCCCAAGAGTCACACAGACACAGAAGACCTTTGAGCCAGCTCTGTGCTGACCTGTGGAGCAGCGAGATTGACTGAGTTCAGCTGCATGGCAGGGACTGGCAAATACCAGTCACAATGTGTACAAGCCTTGGGGACAACTGGGATGAAACCAGCAGGCTGTCAAATGCATTTAGGGTGCATTAACTTGACATAATGCTGCTGAGAAAGGGAAAGGGAATATTCCAAAGGATTATTCCCTCATTCTCAGAGAGGGGCTTTCTGCTGGAAGAAGCCCAAAGTTCTTTTCTCCAGCCCAAGGATGTGTTTTTCCAGATACATTTTGAGTAGTCCCCACCTACACATAAACACAACACGGATTCACACTCAAAGCTTTCCACTGCACCCACAGACGTGTGCGTGTAAAGGTGCAGGAACCAAGGCTGTAACCATATGTCTAATAATTCGCTTTGTGCTGCAAACACTTGTGGGGGCTATTTTGGAAGGTTATATAAATTAGCTCGTGTTGTTGTAAAGAAATCGATCATTTAATGAGTAACATTTGAAGAGAGGAAATACAACTTCTGTAACTTTTCATGTTTATCAGGACATATGATTACACATGAGAAACACCACGATGGAGACCGGGCTCTGAGGTGGGTCACTCATGGAGAGCGAGACAAGCCAGGATGCCAAGAAAACAGAAAACCAGACAAACATGCTAATGCTGCTTTTTGTTTTCTACACATTCCACCTGCCTTGAAGGAGTTCCCATCACCAGGTTCATGTGGAGTCATGCAAATTGAGCTAAAGGAGAGCTGCAGACGCAGGGGGTGTGTTAGGGGTTAGTAGGAGGCCAAATGCAAACAGGTCTTTGCCTTTGAGATTAGTAACATCAATACACTCGTCAGCAAGCTCGTGTTACTTCTCATCGTATCAACTCGTGGTTTAAATGGTTCCAGTTCGAAAACCGGCCCTTTTCCAAACTAGCACAATTCCTGTGACACACAGCAGAGCTTACAATTGTCCTGGATTGTCTGGGACAGTCCCAGCAGTGGCCAGGGGGTCCCGAGGAGCGGGAGCGCCGCGCTGGGAGCTCCCGCCCCGTGAGACTGATCCTGCAGCCCCTCTCGAGGGAACCCCGCTCCTGACCAAGGGGGCAGCCACGGGGACAGGATGGGAGACAAGGGCAGGGGTGGGAGGGAAGACATGGAAAGGGGAAAGAAGAAAAACAACAAGGTCGGGAGAGGAGAGAGAAACAACAATCGATTAATGATCTTCACCAAACGCACCAATACAACCGCAAGACGTTTTAAATCCGTCCCTCAGCGACAGCTCTCCTGTCGCTCTGCCAGCCTAAAACTGCAGCTGCTGATGGGGATGGGAAATGTTGGATCCCCCAAAAATACCAGACCGTGATTTGATTCAAACCTGCAAGTAAAATCTATCAAGCAGCTTCTACGGTCCTCCAAGAGAATGATTATTTATTATTATTTGCAGAATCATGATTATTTTAATTACATTCACGTTAGACAAGAAAAAGAAGTTTCATAAAGGGTTGTCATTTTCTTTTCTCAGGGAAAACTTTATAATTAGTCCTAAGTTTGTACTCATCATTGTACAGTTCAGCTCCCAATGCTACACTTGCAATCTTCTCAGGAGTCCTATCACAGTTCCTGAGATCAGACTCCTCCTGAACTGAACAATGAATTTTTATCTCTAGAGGAACAATGTACCTGGAGGTTTTCAGATTCACCACTCTCTATTAGGGAAGCACAGAGTCCTGTGAGCTTATTCCAGCAAGCAGAAAGATTAAACAGATGGACGTGTCTCACAGGTGCCACATGGCACCTTTGAAGTGTTTGATTGCATAAGAAAATAACTTCAGCAGCAGTTCACCCTCTAAATATTACTACTAAAAGTGAAAACCCCAGTGAGCTCCAAGTCACTGCCTCCAAAGAGCAGCCCCAACTAGCCCTACTTCTCTTGCTTAAACAAGAAATCTGCTTTTCCTCTTTTTTTTCCTTTCTTTAATTTAAACTTGCTAAATTATGAGTTTCTTCTCTCTACACCTTCACAATTTTTCCTTTCTCAAAGCCACGATGCAAATCCAGCAAGGGGGACGCTCCAAGACCCTCACTACAAGTTGCAGTGAAGTGGGGCAGCAGTTTCCAGGCCTTGGGACTTACTCACAGTTTCTGTTCCAGGCAGCTTTGTGTCATGGTTTTCAGCACATGGGCAGTGAGTGGCAGTAAATTACCAATGCCAGAGCATTCAGTGCACAAAAGCCTTTAAGTGCACAATCACTGGGGTCTTCAGACAGACATATGGCACAATGACAGAGGGAAAGACCTGGAATATTTCCTCCAGAAACATTTCCTCCTCGAAAGCCTACCTGGTTTCCCCACACACTTGCCTGAAAGAGAATGGCACACATCCTCTGGGTTCCCTTCTTCAAACCTGGAGGGGCTGGGAGAGCCACTTCAGCTGTGCCTTTGGCAGAAAATCTAAAGCTTTGGGAGCTGGCCTTCAATATTCCTTGCTGCCTCTTCACTCAGGCCTGGGCACAGGGATTTCAAGACTCCGCATTCTCAAGCCCTGCTGACCTGGGCCTTAGATTTCCCTGAACATTTAGGATATCCCTCAGCACAGACAGCTGAGTACTTGCAGAGTTTCCATTTCACCTGGATTGATCAACTGTCACTTTGGACCCGTGGAGGTGCAAAGGACAGTCAAGCCAGAGATTTCAGGAGTTTGTCATGGACAAACAAACCCTTTTCCAGCTGCTACGTTCTTTTGTGTTCTCAGAAAAGATGGAATTTGGCACAGCTACAAAGCTTTCCTCATATTTCATACGTCTTCTGAGAGAAGTCAGCTTTAGCCTGAGGCACTCACAGCTGGGATTGTGCCCATATTGTCCCACTGTCACCAGGAATTACAGACTTGCAGTGCCAACACATTAATCCTGTCTTACTGCACCCAAACCCCAGCACCTTTCACATCTGAAGGCCCTACCCAGTCACAACACCCTCAGAAATGCACTTTTGCTAACATTTCACCATCAAGTTGCTGCTTCTGATTTTTTTACTATAAATTCTCACTATTTATATTAATCCCTTGAAGAAGGAAAAGTGAATTATCTTTGCTGAACAAGTGACATATGAAAATTAAGAGATTTGTTGTCAGATTGATCAAAACAACAAATTCCAAATACCAAAGGTGTGATTGTACTGAAGCATCTATAATTTAAAAAGGAGATAGAAATGTGTACAAGAGCTGTGACTCAAGCAGAAAAGATGGGAAGGACAGCAACAAGGGATTATTTTTAACCTCGATTAAAATGAAGTATGGAACTGTTGATGACACAGGCACAGCAAGAAGAAAAAAAGATAGGAGAATGTTAAGACCACCTTGCTTTATTCCTCTCCTGAGTCCAGAGCTTGGGGATATAAATGGGATGGGTTATTTCCACGTGCAGCCATTGTGAAGGGACTGCTCCAGAAGCCAGAGGTGCTGTGTCCCCGTTTCAGGAGGGTCCAGCAGAGCAGGAGCTGTGGGGGCTCTGCAGCAGCTTCCCCAGGGCTCTGTGGCACTGGCTGGGCACGGCCTGCTCTCCATGAGAGGGCTCCTGTGCCATCCCTCTGCATCCCACAGCTGCAAGGGAAGCTCCCAGGGACCTGAAGGGGGATTTTCACTCCTGGAAATGGTGCTGAAAAGCTGCACAAGACACTGATGCTCCTGCTGAAATCATCCGTAATTCCTGACTACAAGACATTTTAAAACCCAGCATAATCTGTCAATTAAACTCACTCCACAGTTGCTTTTGCATCATCAAAGCAGAGTAAAACAGCTGGAGGGTACAAGGGTTTCTGGTGTGAAACATCTGTACCACTGCTACTTAGTACTCCTCTAACAATTAGCAATTCACCCAAGATAAGACAATAATTTTCCTTTTTTAAACTCGATTTGCAAACATTTATGTTTACCAGATGACACACTATGCCCTTTTGTAGAAAAACAGAGGAACAAATTCTTTATTTGAGGAAAAGAGATATTCTTAAAAGAAAGGGTAAAGAGAAGGTTATTGTCCAACATTTATTGTAAAAATTGCTGATCCTCCTCCTACATAGCATTGTTAAAACATTTTTCTTCTGATTGCTCATACCCCACATTTCACACCCAATTCTTCTGTTTTGCACATTTACTGAACAAAAATGATTAATTACTTTCTGTTCAAGATGTTCAGCACTGCATTCTTTGAGAACTTTAAAGACAGAAACTTATTTTTCCAAGGCCTACATGAGATTTGGGATTATTTACTCCATTTTGTCTTTTGCAATAACAGAGCTACTAAGCTGAAATTCTTTCTGTGGGTTAACCCACAGCAGTCTTCTGTGTCAGTGCCCAGTGCAAGGCAAGAGCAGGGAAACTGCTGAGAAAAGAATCCCCATTTATAAGAAAATATTCTATCAAAATAGCCAGAATGGATTCACAGCTAGCCACCAGCTGGATTCACAGGCAGGGATTTACTGCTCCAGATTTTGAGGGGAAATGTACTTTACTGGTTATAGATGCTCCTGTTCTGTCCCATCAGATTTTGCCATCCCCTCCTTTAGGTCTGTGTTTCACTGAACACACCCTCTGTTCTCAGCTCTCACCTCTTTTCTTTGCTCTCCTCTCCAACACTGTTCCCCTCCCAGCTAGTTTTTTTTAGAATATTTCAGCCTAAGGCCAGCCTGTGCCACAGGAAATTCCAGCTTTAACAGTGACAACCCAACACAATCACAAGTGACTGAAAATCTTTTCATAAAACCACAACCCAAAGCCTTAACCACAAAATATTTACAAGCTTACCACTATCACAAGTGCTCTGCTGCAGACACACAGTGGTTAGGAGAGAATATAAATGCTCATGTGCATGGTAGAAGAGGACACAACACTCTCAGATGTGTCATATACATGTATTTTTCTCCATCACATGAACGTGATGTACTCTGTGAACACCATTTTAAATTATACCTGGTGAATTTTAAAATTCCTGTCTTATTTCTAGGGACTGACTTTGGTTGAATGAAAAGAGATGCAAAAGGGCACACCTGGAAACAAAAGCCTTTGTGGGACATACCTCTCTTCCACTGAAACTTCCTTCAGCTGCTGATGGGGCTTTGTACCCTCCATTTCTCGGATGCTCACTGCATAGATCTTAGTGGTGTAGTCAATTGCTTTTTCTCTTGCAACATCACTATCATAACCTTAGAAAAATAAAACACAGAATAAAACAAACTACCCTTGTTTCACAGTGGGAGAGTGGAGAACAAGAAGATCTGCACCAATGAAAGGGAGGAAACAAATCCTACCAAGCTCTCCTTACACTGAAATTTAGCACAACAAAGCTCCAAGTTAAAGGCCTGTGTGAATCTCTGATGCAGGCGAGGAAGACTGAGTTAAATCCTCTTTTTACCTCCATCTTCTTCTGCATCTGTGTCTGACTCTTCACTGTCCACCAGCTTGCTCTCCTGGATGCCCAGGAACTCCCTGGTCCAGATCATGAGGGCGGTGTCGGCGCCGCCGACGGTGAGGAGCACGGAGTCGTTGTGCAGCCACTGCACGTTGGTCACCTGGGCGCTGTGCCCCACGTACTTCTTGAACTTGGCATGCTGGCCCTGCAGCACAGAGAAGCCCTCAGCTGGCAGCCTGGCACCCCAGCAACAGCACCTTCCCTCTCTGCCTTTCCAGTCACTGAAATAAGCCCATTCCTTACCTTCACTGGGTAGGAAAAGAGCTTCACAAAGCCAAAATCATCTCCCGTGGCCAAGAGGCTTCTGTCCTTTGTGAGACTGGCCGCGTTGACAACGGTGACATCGCTGTGCATGGGCCAGATTCCCTCACAGGTGGGACCAAGCACACATGTCCAGGTGTCCCATTCAATCTTCTCTATCTGCAAGCAGAATTCCCCCAGGGGAAGCTTTCTTACTTTAAACATACCAAATACACACTAGCTTTGTGTGTATACTTGTCTGTGTTTGAACTTTTTATTTTAATATTTTTAGTTCTTAAGAAACTGCGCTGCTCCAGCTTGCTGATATCAACCATGTGTCTTCATCAAAAGGCTTAACACTTTAAACATTCCCATTTTTCCAAGGGAGGGCGTGATTTGGGTACAAATCTCCCTGAAGATTTCTGAGCTGCTAAACACTGGCAATTTTGCAGCAGAATTACATGTCACAGGTAATCAGGCTTTTCATGAAAAGCCAGGTCCTGCTGTTTGAAGGTGGTTTATAACCTGTATGCAACTGGTTACACAGAAAACAGGTGACTTTGAGAAGAGGACTATGGCAAATGGCTGCTAATAGATAAATAAAAATAAATTCAGAGATACAAGCAGAAAACTGCACATTCTACAATTTAGAAATGCTAGGAAACACACTGTGGAATTACTAAATCATTCTAATTCTAACCATTGTAAATATAGCATTATTAAAGGAAAAAAATACACCATTTGAAGACAATTCTTAAAATTAATTTTCCCAGTAAAAATAATCCAGCACACATAATTCATACCTCAGCAATTCTTATGATATGTCTTTTCCCCCTCGGTGCTTCAAAAAATAGTTGTTCTTTGGCACCAGAATTGACTTGCAATAACTTTCCTGGATACAAAAGGAGAGTTTGTTATGAATCTTATTAATTATTATGACTGTTAAGAACATTCTTTTGATGGAGTGAAGAGATTTCTGGGGGTTAATTAAGAAATTATCCTCTAGAGAGTTATTCATAGCCAAAGTAACACAGATGCTTAAAATCACTCCTGTAAGGGTCCCATACTCTAATTCAATGCATAAGTATTATTTTAAATACCGTCCAGTAGCCATAAGAAGCTGTTGTTGCACAGCAAATCAGTTTCTGCTGATAGGGAATATTTTGCTTGTGTTTCATCATCACACTAATGGAAGTCAAAAATAACTGCATGTGCTGTTAGTTTTCCTAATAATTTTACAATGCAGCTTTGCCAAAAGCGGTCCCTTTGCCAGTTCCTATCCCTCCTGCAGTGCCCCAGTGGCAGAGCCAGCTCCACTCTCAGCTGCCCTGGGATGGGAAGTTTGCTGTGCCCATGGAGATGCTGCTGCCACTGGCTCACACCACGTTTTGGGGTGGCACACAGCAGGGACAGGGCTCGGGCACACAGGTGGCCCCACACACATCATATCTGTGATATGGTTCACTGGCATAAGCTCATTACAGATCCTGCTGGACTTAATTAGTTGGGACCATCGTGCTCCAGCTTCTTGCAGGGATTGCCATGCAGAGCTCAGCAAGGAAAGGAAACCGGATGCCAACAAATGTAATTGCACTGGATCCATACAGTGCCCCATGGGGAAAAAGCATTTGCATCAGTGGCTGATGCCAGTAACTGGAGGGGAACAGCTTCCTGATATTCCATTCTGTGAGCATTTCCAGACTGGATCTCTGGCCAGCACTTTACCTCTGGAGTCCCAGTCGATGTGGGTGATGTAGCTCGAGGCACCTTTGCAAATGCCAACTCTTTTGCTGGTAAGGACATTGTAAATATCTACAAAGTTATCATGGGAAGCCACAGCCAGGTACTTTCCTGATTCTGTAAGGAGGAGACACCGAGGTTATTAAAGGGTAAATCTTCTAACTGATCCTGGTGTGATTTGCACCACTCCAGTGAAGTCACCAGGCAGGGGAGGGCCTGTTAGAGTGCAGCACACAGCCACACGGAATTGTAAAGTATTTAATGCACGGAGCACACACAAAGCCAAGTCTTCCTTTGGAACACTCAGCCTTGTCTAGACCACAGAAACAAACTGCAAGATAAACACTCCAATTTATCATTGTACCTCGTGAAAACTTTATATCCGAGATCATCTCCTTCCTGTGGTGGAAGGAGACCATGTCCTCCACGGTGTCGGCATTGACCACCAGAAAGCTGCCGTCGTTCAGCCCCACCGCCAGCGCCTTCCCGTCCGGAGAAAAGGCACAGCAGCGCCCGCCTGCGGATGCACGTGGAAATGAGGCTGTCAAAGCTGAAAAGCTGGGGCTGAAAGGTTTTTACATCAAGTATGTCGTTTTAAAACACGTTCGTTATCTCTGGAAACAGATATATCACAGAGGCCTATGATGGATGCTTTGTTACAGGGTGCTCTGGAGCTGACCACTATCGTTTAATGCCTTTTGAAACAGGTTTATGTGCAAATACCACCTTCCAGCCGCCTCCTAAACACACCAATGACAAAAATAAAACCAAAAAAAGCCACCCAAAACACATACAGAAAGGAAATCCTGATGGAAAATTCAAAGACTCATTACGGACAGTGTAATTCTGCCTCAGCATTATTCCTGACCATACTCTCCTACAGCCATCCTCATCCCTCCCCAAGTTCACCTCTCCAAAACATTTAACTCTGTTTTCTTCCAGCCAGTTAAGGGTTCCTGTGCTCCAGATCTGTCACTGAAAATGAACATTTTAAAATTTCCTGAGGGATATCAATGAGTTAATAAAATGAGAGTAATTTTGAGAAGGCAGCATTTCAATGTGGCTTATCTAATTTTATATAGGAGTGGGCAGGAAAAGTGTTAATTTTAGAGAAGCTGGTAACAGGTAAAACTCACATTGACAGCAAAAGATGATTGTGCTCAACATGCAGGAAATTGTACTTTTATCTTTATAAGGAAATTGGTTTATGTCAGCAACGTACTGGCCTTAAGTATTCCTACAGAGGAAAGTGGTTCTGAGGTCAACTCATTCCCCTTGAAATTGGGGGAAAAGAGACTGAAGTTCATTTTATTATTATTCATTACAATAGATTACAATTCTTTTTCTTCCTTCCCTTTACACTGACTTGACACATGCCAAAGACAATTTATTTCCCGTGCTCCCAATTTCATAATGACTGTGTCCTTTGCCTACCCAATTAAGGGCTGAGATGTGCCCTGCAAGCAGAGAGGGAGCTGTGCCAGGGGATTGATCCATGGTTCCTAGAGCCTGGCCAAGGCAGGGTTACCTTTTTTGAGCTTCCTCACTGCCAGCATGCGGTGCTGTGACGAGAGCTCCCAGATGCGCAGGGTTTTGTCGTCGCTCACGGTGGCACAGACGGGCAGGAGAGGATGAGCTGCCAAGCCCCACACTTCTCCTTCCATATGGCCCTGGAGGAAAGCATTCCATACAGGAGGAAATAATGCATGTGGGGCTGTGTGATGTTCTGAGCTTGCCCTGCCTCGTTTTGTAAGTCCCAGGCAGTAAAGCTTTCACCGTCTCCTCTCTCCAAAGCTCTCCAAGTTCCAAAAGACCTGAATGTGTGCTCTGTCTCCCTGACAAATGTCTGAAATGCCCTCCCATCGTCCCCTCTGCTATTGCTGGCTGTAATTCCTCTTCCTCCAATATCCTCCTTTCCAAACTTGAGATGAATAGGGAACAGTTACTCCCAAACATGATTCTTTAGCCTAAAACCCTAATATTGGCTAATCCTCAAAGTTTATGTCCTATTTTAGATCCTTGTTTGCCCAACATACACTTAATACTTTGTTATAATCTTGCCTCAGATTCTCAGTTTTCCAACTTGTTAATCACTCTTCCTGGTTTTTTCCAGCTTTCCTTCAGTTTGCATCCAGTTTGTTAGCACTGCATATCAAGGTTAAATAATTTCTTACTGCTCTCAATCTGCATTAGTGAATGAGTTCAATGTTTTATAAAACACAACCTCACACATTTTGGATAGCAAAGGCAGTCATGCAGGCAAGACAAATTTGAAGGATTACTTCATGTGATCAAAATTTACTGAAAAAAGAATACCAAAGAACCAGCACTTTTGTAAAAATACAGAAAATATTTTGCTATGGGAGATCCACACAGTACCTGAACAAGCAGAGTCATAGGCCCACTTTTATCAATTTCAAGTATTTCTCCATTTTTAGTTCCTACCAGGATGTGCCCATGTCCCAGGCTGATGGCTCGGATGGAAGGGTTGTCTTCTAAAAGTAAACCTGAAGAATGCAATATATATATATATATATATATATAAATTTCATATCACTTGCAGTTTATATATAAATAAAACCTGTTCAAAATCATGCACATGGGGTAAAATTGCCTGATCAAACTGCCAGTTAATCCATGGATCCTTGCCTATTTAGAGAGGGGAGTTTGTCTGTAGCAAATATAAAGATTGATATTTTACTGCTTTAACAGTGAAAGGGTCTAAGGGGCTCAGGAGTTCCAGCACCTCAGAATTTCTGTGATTACATGTGAACATCCCTTTCCAGCCTCCCACACTGAGGTCTGGGGAATTTAACAGGTCCCTGCTCTCACCACAGGGCATGTGGCCAGCCAAGGAAACTGGGTTGATTTTGGAAACGCCAATCTCAAGGCTGGGCACATTTCTCCTTAAAATCATTTCACCAATGGAAACAAAGCTCGATGTCATGAAATAGAGAAGGGAACAGCAGAACAAATTCTAAATGACAAGGAACACAAGAAACACACCTTACATGGACCAAACCACAACACTGCAGCACCAAGTGGTGTGTTGCTGCTCCCTTTGGTTGCTGGTAAGATTTGACACCCAGTCCTACTCTTTTACTACCATTGTAGCACCCTCCATGCACACAGTCCTTATTGAAGCACACTTAAAATCAATACCTTTAGAACTAGCAGAGAGTGCTGCTCTTTTAATAGCATATGTCTTCAGACATCTCTCAAACATGTCATCCCAAAGGGCCACAATTCCATCTTTTCCACCCGTCACAAAGCCCTGCACAGTCACAGTAGGAGAACACACACAGATGTCAGCACTCAGGGGGAGATTCAAAAGGACATGTCCAAAGGCACAATAAAGCCTCCCCTGCTTTTTATTCATGTGTCAAACTAAAAATATTGGAGTCTGTACCTATGAAGGAAAAATTCAAGTGGACAAGATTTTAGAGTTGTTTTTTCTAGGGTTATAAAGATTTGCAAGCATATGAGCACACACTGTTGTAAACAGGAATGCTGGGGCAGGACATTTGCCTGCATGTGGAAATAAGAGCTGGAAAAATGTGTTTTACCCTTAGAAGAGGCAGTAGGTTGGCAATAACAGCTTCTTAAGCTATTCCAGATTCAATTGACTTAACAGATGCTTCAACCCAAGTTCTAATAATGCATCAGGGACCAATTCTCTCATTAATTCCCTGGGCAGATTATCTGGGCCAAGTGAATGCAAAAAAGCATAAATAACTAACCAACAAAAATCTAAGTGAAGAAGGATGTTCAGTGCCAAGATCAAACAGAAAAATTGATGGGAAAGCTGGGAACAATCAATTAGGGCCAGGAAGGATTGAGCCACGGGGATCTTAATTGACCTTGATATATAAAAATGTTAATAGCTAACATTCTTCTCATCCTTTACTTCTACAGTTGAAACCATAACCTCAAAAGGGATAGTCCATTATCAACATTATCTTCAAATTGCCAGGGGCAAAACTTTGTCCTAAGCTCATTTGTATGATGCAAATATTTTGCCATAATTTCTTTTATAGATGTATTGATGCAACCGAAAGAGAATTCTTTTGATATCGGGAATAGTTAACTCAAAACCTTTGTATATCTAAAGTCTAAGACACAGTAATAATATTATTAAAATATCATGTTTTGTATTTTGGAAACTGGTAATGCACAAATATTTTTGGGATCAGGTTGAAGAGGCAAGGAATGCCACCCATTACTCTCTTATGGTTTACACAAACATGAAAACAACACTCCTGAGCAGAGTGAGAAGTAAATTCTGGATTTTTAGAGGTCAGAAAGCTGTTGGTCAGGTACCAGCACGTTGACAAGGTGCTTACAAATCCAGGTCTAGCAAATAACAGAACTCATTCCTGTTGGCTTTGTTTAATTACAAACACCTCTAAAATCAATGAAAGCAACAAAAAATCAAAGTGAAGCTCTAGAGACCTTGTCCAGTGCATGCATGGCAAACACAGGTCCATCATGGGCCTTCACTGTCCTCAGCAGCAGGGTCTCCTTCCAGATGTAGATGTCACCAGTGGCAGCCCCAGAGAACACCAGCTCCTCCACGCGCCCGTACGAGACGCTCATCATGGTCTCCAGCTTCCCCACGCTCCCAAACGTGCCCCGTTTGGAGGTGAAGCCTCCCCCTGCAACAGCAGCACAAGGCTCCTTCTGGTTGGGCTCGTAGCCACAGGGCTGGAAAGGACAAATGTCTGAGCCCAAGATCTCCTGTGGCTGCCCAAAAATCCAGAATCAGCGCACAAGGGAAAAGCACAAAGAAAGTGAAGGCAGCGGTGACAGCCTCAGGTTGTGTTTCCAAGCAAGAGAGAAATCTGGTGAGGAATTGTGCAAAAACAGCTGCTGCAGAGGCTGGCAGGGTGGTTTTTGCCCACAGCAGCTTCTGCCATGCTGCTTCTCTGTAGAGGTGAGCACAACTACAAGACTGGTTTAGTTGCTCCCTGGCACCCTGAGCATTTGGCAGAGCTTGGCAGAATAAATGTCCAGGTTTGCTCCTCTGGCTGTCAGAGAACCAAACCACCACAGCCTTGCCGTGGGTCAGGAAGCAGAAGCAGCCAGAAGGCCCAGGAACCAATGCTTAGACAAAAATCCACATAAATTATAAAATATCATCTGCAGTGGTGGCCCTGTGTCAAGGGAACCCACCCTGTGTGGGTTCCACAGCTCACACCACACTGAGTCCCCACTCCATTGAACAAATCTGAATTAAAAATGCACCATTTTTATCACAAAGAGACTATTCTGGGAGTAAGATGCTGCTTAATGCACATTCCCATCATGGAATTTGGCAAACAGCAATGCAAGTCTATGTAATCACTGCAAAAATAACCTAAAGATGAAAAAAAAAAAAGCAGAAAAAAATATTTTTAATCTTAGAGCACCTCAATTACTTGAACCCTTAAAGTATGGTATGAAGTGCAGGAAGCTCTTAAAATTACCTAATTTTGGGTTGTTCTGAGTACTTGTGCCATGTGTACACAACTAAAAAGTCATGAAGAGTGAAAAATCCAGTCCTGAATAAAAAATATCCTCAATCACAACCTGATTTTTTGGAAGCCAAGGATGCTTGCTCAGGAGAATTCCTTAGTAATATGACTAGAATTTAAACACAATTTAACTGGAAATTTTTTCCAAGGAGGAAGGAATATTGTGACATTTGCTGACTCAGAGGTGGGTTTTCACCCCTTTAATATTTTGGTAACTGGAAGAAACAAATTCTTAAACCAAGAACATGGTGTTCCTGCATTAAAAATATTCACAAATCCTCATGTTAATCAAATATAAACTATTCAATACAGTACCTGTTTGCTGCCAAAATTTGATGTGCTTCATCCCAACCGTGACCAGTCTGTCCACATGATGTGGATTACACTTCACTACAAATATTTTATCTTTATGGCCCCTGCAATAAAGGTAGATATTTTAAAAGCTTGGCAAGGGATAACTTAACATTTCCAACTAATTAAATCATTGGTATAAATAATTTCTCCATCTAACAAAAAGTAGAGAGCCATATTTCTAATCAGCAAGGGTTCAGCTCTGGGAGTTTGCCCCACAGAGCTGGCAGGAGGAATTTGAGCACACACCATGTGAGGAGTACAGAAATGTAGGGAATAAAAATCCTCTCCCACTGAATTTCAGCTCATTTAAGTCATAACAAAGGAGCAGGCAACAAAGGTTAAGGCAATTAAAAGAAGACATAAAGGTCAACATAAATATTTAAATGGATGAGAACTCAATAAATATTGAAAGATACTCCGACAGGAAAAGTGAGGAAGTGTTTCATCTGTGGGCTTCAAGATAGAAAATAAAATCACAAATTTTAAAATGGTAGTGTAGGAAGCAGTTCACTCAGCAGCACATTCACCTCCAGGTTTAGTTCTTGGGTAATTAAAGTTATGCTTGTTGATGTATTTATGGGAATTTACAAGCTTGGGTCTTATCATAGCAAAAAATATTCCCATTTCTAAAGCATTACTTTTATCTATGTTAGTGTTTTCTAAACCCCCCAGAGCAGCTTTTCACTGTACATCTGCAGGTTTTGTGCTAGGATTAAGTCACTTTTCCCTGACAGGCTCAGCAGATCTGGAAAAACACATGGTTCTGAAACCCCTCTCAGGGTCAGGATTTCCTTCCAGTGGATCGGTCTGGATGCAAAACTGGCCACCTTTGACATCTGCAGCACATCCTGCATCCAGCTTACTCCACAAGGATTTAATGAAATTAGACAGGAGCTAGGAGAGCCAGGACAGGGAAACAAGATGAATAATTTAGCTCTGAAACAATTAAAGCAAATAAATAAGAGTGTTCCTAATGTTGCAACAAAAAAACCCAGAAGTCATGCTGAAATAAATCATCCTAGAAAGATTAAACAAAAAGAACATTTCAAAAAATAAATGTAACTGCGGAAAAAACATGAATGTCTGTATATGGTGAATGGACACCCATTTTTCAGGTTTATATGTGTCCATATGATTGATTATAAGGAGATGTTCTTTTATTCCTGCGTGCAAAGGCCACATGAGGGCTTTTGTCTGTCTCCCTGTGTCCCCCTGTGCTCACCAGAACAGGGACCTTGCCTTTAGGCACTGCTAAAATCTAAACAAGGGCTTAAACCGGAACATTTTAGAAGACACGTTCATTTTTCTGCTCTCTGTGAGGACCCTGCATATTTTCAAGAGAACAGATTAGCAAGAATTAGATCCATGGGGTACATGCAGCATTGCATGGTGAAAAGAACCCGAGTGCTCCTTGTTTTATCTGTCCTGGGAGCACCAGCAGCCAGGTAGTGACACAGCTCATCATTATCTTGTTTTTAAAAGCTTAAAGGTCAGCATGGGAATATATAAAGTATTTCCTTGCCTGCGAATCAAGCACAATCTGGCTGGGGACAGCAGAGCTGGGATTGCAAAGCCCAGGAAAATGTCACGTTTTACAACACAGCCAGGGCTGTTGCTAAGCAAAGCCTCCAGCACAGATTTGAGACAGGATTTAAACCCTCACTGCCTAATAAACTGCATGTCTGAGGTGCAATTGTAGAGCTAACAGATTGTGGTACACACACATGGAGTAAAACACTGATTTCTTCAGTAATGGCACACTACTAACAGAGGGTGCTGCTGCCAGGAAATCTCACTTCTTCTGCAACACATCACCAGATAGTAATTAAAGTAAATTACCTTTCACAGGCACTTTTTTGCAGCTATACTAACAATTTCTACTGAGCAATGCTACATTACATGGTTGCAGAGAGCATACAGGATTCTGCCCTTGCCCTTCTGGCACAGGCATCCACTCTCACAGGAATTCTCCTCAGTCCTAGTGACCAGGGGCACATTTCCTTTGTCCAAGGCTGAGACAGAAACCAGGTTCTCAAACAGTTTGATTCTCCTACACTGAACATCTATTATTGCAATCCAGTACTTGAATATAAAATAGCAAACGTGTAATTTTAGTCCAATTCTCTTCCCAGAACTGGTCCCTTCAAGCAATTGCAGAGGACTCTTCACTGTCAGGTTGTTGGCTGAGCTGTCCTTTGGCAATTGAAAGAGCAAATAGCTCAGACAAAACTGGCTCAGAAGAAAGGCAGGATCAGCAGTGCTTGAAAAAAATATATATAGATTAGAGGGAACTCTTTTTTCTTTTTAGAAAGAGATCTGGTTATTGATGGAACCCAGCACATCATGGAACACATAAAAAGAAATGACACCTCTGGTGACTTCTGCCCTGAGCCAGGACATAAAACTGGGAGAAAAGATTAAACTTCACTTGAAAAGCTTGAAACAAACCACAGTGCCAATGTGGCTCTCCCAACAGAAAGGCTAAGGAACTCCTGCCAGAAATAGTTCACACAATTTCCAAACTCTGCACTGTGCATCCCCAGGTTTTTAATCTGGGTATGTTGCTCTGAAACACCATCCTGTTTTCAGAGGGGAGTTCTGCTTTATCTCTTTGTTCATAGGAAAAATGTGGATGATTCTATTCAGAAAAAAGTAATCAGAGGGGACATTTTAAACTGTGGCTATCCTTACCTGGTTGTTGCCAGCTTTTCTCCCTTTTTCCAGTCCCAGAACACAATGGCATGGTTATCATCCAGCCCAACAGATGCCAAACATTTCCCATCAGCTGTACAGAAGCAATACTGAGAGTTAAAGGTGCTAAGGCTTTAGCTGAAAATGAACACAACAATCACATTGCAAACTGAATTTCTAATGATATAAAAATAAATAAAAAATGAATAAATGAATAAAAATTAAATACAAATATAGAAATATTTATAATATACATTTTAAATATATATTTTCTTTGTTTATATAAGTAGATATAGATATAGATATAAATAAAGCAAAAAAGCCCCAAACCAATAGTTCAAGAAATTGGAGTTCAGATCTTTCCCAAAAGCAAAATATTCCTAAGTACAATGAAAATAGGGAGGATCAAACAAAGCAATGAAATTCAATTTCATAAATTCATAAGTGCTCTAAATTCACCTTGCATTTTATTTGAAATATTTCTGATCAGATGATGCCTTTTTTTCTTTGCTTGAAATGGTGCAGAGATTTAGTAGAGTATGAAATGTTCACAGGCAGGGTGATGAAACTATAAATACGATATAAAATTTTAAGGCTAAAAATAACTGCTGGCTATCTTTGCTTTCACTGCAGGAAAGACACAGCAGTACTGATAATGAGAGGAAGGAAAGCCAGAAGAGAAAATCATCCATAATTCAACAGTACCCAGGCACGCTTGCCACGTGTATAAAATAATGATAAACACAACCATCTCTAACAAAGTTTTGGGTACAAACTTTTGTACTGAAATTCTAAAAAGTTTATAAAACTAAACTATGATTTTTGCAGTTTATGATAAGAAAATTCAACTTTATATGGTGTAGGAGGAGCTGATCACCTGCTTGGATTTTTCAACTGCAGAAACGTCAAAGTTGGAGGAAGCAGAGCTGGGCAGAGACTGAACAAGGGCACTGATCTGGGAATGTGCTTCTCAGAAATGAATGATGGGAAGGACTCTGGGCTTGGGTATATTTGACTTCAAGAAGAAAAAGAGAGTCACTGGTATAAATCACTCCATCAGAATGACTGCAGAGTTCATAGGGCTGAGTAAGTTCTTACAGACTTTAATGACTGAGCTCTACTAGAACCAAGTCAAGAAGGAGAAGGGGAATTTAATAATCAGTCAGAAAGAAACAGGACCAAGTGGAAAGAGCAGAATAAGGTAGGAAAAAATGAAGTTAAAATACAGGACAAGAAACCAAAACTGAGTTTATTTTAAAAATTCCCAAAAGACACAATAATTTAAAGTTTATTTACTTGAAACAGGAGGTTTATACACTAACATGGACTATACCCTCCAAACAGTATCCCAAGGTATAAATGTTAAATTAGCCACCAGAGGGCAGAACCAAACTCTGCAGGAATGAAATGATCCTCTTGGAATCAGTGTCCTGAAAAGGGCTGCACCAGAAGTACCCAGCTTTCAGAAATGGGCAGCAGCTGATGTTTCAGAGAGGGAGTGAGGGCAGGGAGAACCGGGGGGGAAGAGTCAGCTGCTGCATCAGCTACAGCCAGAAAAGCTTGGGAGCCCTGGGTTTCTTTCTGTAGGCTTCAAAGTGTGTGATCTGAAGCTAATTCTGAAATCTCTGTTATTAAGACAATGCAAATCCCCTACACAGGGCAGTGCAGCCTCTGATCCTGCAGGGAGGTGCACATTTGCAGCGCTCTTTGTCCCTGTCAATGCCAAGAATCCCACCTGGAGCCAGTCAGGAATGCAGTGTGGGCATTATTCCTGGCATCAGGTCCTAAAGCAACACTGTAATGTCGATGGTTGCTACACTTTTAAAAGAAATTCAGTATTTTTTTACGGATTAATGCCCACAGAATGTTTGGCCAGCTTATTCTTTACAGGTACATGGGTTCCAAGATCCAGAATATTCCTACTTGGACAGGAATTCACTTGGTGTTAAAAATGCAAACCACAAAGTGTTATCAAATATAGGAACGTTTGCTCAATTAAAGATCTGAACAAGATGATTTTTGACATCTATGCACACTAATATCAGTTAAATCATCCTTATCCATTTTCCCTCCTTCTGGCACTTTATCTCCTTTCAGAGGGAGCTTACACACCACAGTGGGTCAGCAATTTCACTTTTGAATTCAAGCTCTTGGATGAACACCAGGGCTCCTCTCCTGATAATGGAATATGACTGAGTTCCACAGATTTATCTCTGTGGAAGTCAAACTTCTTTCGTATAGTCTTGTCTTACAAATGTGATCTACATCCTAATGAATACCCCATTTCTGGAGAGCAGAATATGAAATAAGCTTCGAATATAATTGAAAAAAATAATCAGATCAAGTAGAGGCTAGTTCAGATAAAGTAATCTCTTTATTTTATTTTTTTTTTAATAGAAGAAAGGAGAATGAGTTTTCAAGCCCTTTTATAAAGATACAGAAGTATTTAAGTCCCCACCATATGGATGATATTCTTCAGTGCTTTAGTGTTTTTAGTAGGAATTATCCCCTAAAAACTGAGACAGCTTAGGGCAGCCAGCTTAGAAAGACAAGTGGGAGAGAAAGCAGATAATTGTTTGTCATATTTACTTCTTCTGTAAATTCACTGAAAAATGTGACAATTGCTAGCAAATGTGAAGAATTGGATGAGCCCAGAGGTGACATTTCCAACTCATTTATATGCTTTGAGTCACCATCCTGCCTGCTTTAAAATCCTCACACCACCATGCAGACAGTGACCAGAATTCCAGCTGCACACTTGGTATTATCTACCAGACACTGCCAAAATCAGTCACTGACCAAGTGACCAAAGACCCACGACTGACTTCACTACACATGCTATTTTTATCCCAAGTCAGCAAGCTTCCATGTAAAATTGGTACTGGCTGTCATTTAACACTTCTTTGAATTAACATTTCATCACAAGAGCTGCTTTTAAATTAATCATTTAGATAAACATAGGCAGTGGCTTACCTGAAAAATCCAGTGCACACACTCCTCTCTGGTGCTGGCCTTTGAGCAATGACAAACACTTCAGGGTCTGGGTGTCCCAAACATGGATGGCAGCATCTCTTCCAACCTAGATCAGAGGGTTAATTGGCATCTCTGCCCACAGAAGTTCAAAACACACTAATAACAGTAATTAGCATTATCATATCTTTGTCATGTGGCCTATTTTATCTTTTTCAAGATTTATTTTCTCTTTCAGAGCAATATCAGTGGCTGGTCTCCATCACTATTCAGGAGAATATTCATTTATCCTGATGTCTGAATGTGTATGTACACACTGAATATATCATACTCAGTACCAGATATCAGGAAAGTGCCCAACAGCTTTTATCTGAGCAAGGCTGTTGAAAGCTCCTGCAGGACAAGAATACCACAACAGAGTAATGAAAGTCCAAAACCTTCTAGGAAGGAGCTAAAACACAGCTCCTGTGTTTTACTGCAGAGATTAAAAGTAAATTTAAGATTTAGAAGGCCATAGCACAAGACTGGCAGAGTTTATGCTATATAGGAACGGTTTCATCATCACCTCCAACAGTCTTGGCAGGGAAATAGGAAACAACATTCAGTTTGCCTGGATTTAGGAGGAAACACTTCATTTAAGGAAAAAGAGAATGGGGATTTTTCTAATTCTGTATAAAAATATAACTTCTATCAGTTTGAAGTCCCCACCTGCCCAGTAGCCACATAGTCCTTGATGGGGTGGATGCTGAGGCTGAGGATGTCGTCGTCATGGCCGAGGTAGAGGCGCTGCGAGTGTTGCTGCCGGTTGTAGACGACGGCCACGGCGGCGATGTGATAAACCACCTCTCCTGCCTGAGTGTAGAACAGGTTGTTCCTGCAGTCATAGCCCCTGTACCTGCAGCAAACACCAAACACCTCGTGGCTGTCCCATGGCTGCTGGGGAAATCTGTGTTACAAATCATGGTCTGTTAAAGGAAAGGAGTCCTGAGGAGACACCCTGAGCTCAGAGGTACGGCAGAGACTGCCTCCCCCCAAGAGCAGGAATTCAGGAATCATCTCAAGGGCTGCCTTGCACTCAATTCCTAAATCAGCATTCATTTCATAAAAAGGCTGTAACATTTACATAGAGTTGTGTCCAAGTAAGCTTCACAAGGAGTTGGATTGGAGCAGAGATCTATCAGGCATTTTAATGAATCACAGCAATTATAAACAATTAACACAGAACCTTTGCTCTGGGAAACATCAGGTGTAGTGAGCAACAAGTACAAAACTCAACACTGATGTGTTATTTATCAGTGTTCTAAGCTCCCCTTGTTCCTTAGCAAAGAGAACCATGGAATGGGCTGGGCTGGAAGGGACCTTATGGATCACCCAGTTCCACCCCCTGCCACAGGCAGAGACATCTCCCACTGGCCCAGGTTGCTCAGCGCTCCATCCAGCCTGAAATCCAACTGAAAACAGAAAATCTCTATCTGATATTCTAAGAACTACCACAGTAACAATGACAAATTAACTGTGGGTAAGCACCAAAAAATGCATTGCTTACGCTCTGATCCAAATTGTTAGAACACCCCAGCAATGTTAATCAATGAGAAATAACAAATATTATCTGATGTTACTCTACCCATGTATAAACTGCAGCTTCAAGCTGTCCTCAGGTGCTCGCTCTCTCTTAAGGAAGGGCACAGAATGGTTTTTCTCTTTACTTTGCTGTTTCAGCTGAGGTAGGTCTTCTTTGTAAACCTAAAGAAGAGTTGCTAAAGTTAACTGCATGTCTCTGGTTTTATAAATATTTGTGTATGTGAGTGAAAGTGACTTTAAGCATGAAATTTAATATATGCTAATGTGATGTTCAGTGGTTACAATGCAGAGCCAGGCACTGTTGTTCCCAGCCTTCAGATGATAATAAATGTTTCTTGGACAATGAATTCCCCTGGCCTGAGTGACCCAGAACAACAATCTGGAGCAGCAGCAGCAGAGGGTATTTTTTCCAGAAGATTCCAGTGTCACTTAGTGAAAAGGAATGTAAATGGTGACTGGGAATCTCCAGGTGTTTTTTAATTTCCTCTGTGCTTCAATGTGCAAGCTCAAAGCCGAGTATGAGGAACTGCTTCTACCTCGGGATTGTGGTGAAATACCCAGGAACCAAAACCACTTCAGTGATCTGACAATGTGTCCAGAATCCCAAAGCACAATTACAGCTCTATACATACACAAAACACCTTCCATTTAAACACTTCAGAAGTGCTATAACTCTGTGGTGCCACTGAAGGTGTTTGAAGCACCCCCAAACAAAATCCATTACAATGCTAAAATGTAGCTTTGGTGTTTCTTTCCTGTGCCTACATTTCTTGGACAAATGAACAAAGAAATTGCCACTCCCACAGAAATCCACCTGACTTCCAAGAAGCAACACTAGATTTTTGGAAGAAAGGAAAAGAAGGAAATAAACTCAGTGAAACAAAATACTGAGGCATCATATTCTGATGCATCTCAAAATGTAGAATCCTCTCTGCTGCTTCAGGCATAACATTAAAAAGAGAAAACCCAAACCAAACCCCAATTCTCAAAATAAGATCAATGTTTTTATTTCCCTGTGCTTTTGTCAATTATTTCCTTTAACAAAATGCCAAATGCAGCTTCTGCTTGGGGCTGTCTCACAGTTCCTATCTGAGATGCTATTTTAAGTTGTTTCTGGTTTTCCATGCATTAACCTGCCTGGAATATTGCTGTTTAACTGCCTACAGTGATATTGTCACTTGTAGTTTTTAAACCCAGACGTCCTTTTTGACACACAGACAGCGTGGAGGAGGATGATGACTGATTTGAATACAAATGGAAAATCAGGAGGAGGAGGAGGATGGGACCAGCACTCTGGTGAAACTGGGTTTAAATGAGAGGGAAGGGAGAGAATTTTGAAAAATCTGTTTCATTTGCCAATCACGACTGATCTCTGAAATAAACAGGTGAAAGAAGCTGTTGGCAAAAGGACCTATGCAATTTATTGTAGTCAAGAAAGTGAGGAGAAAAGATAAAGGATGCCCTCGCCTAAGACCTGGAATGTTAGAGGTGAACTTCCCACATTCCAGACTTCATGTCAGTCATTAAATCCCTTAAATCAACATGAACCAATTTATTCTGGGATTTCCCCCCTCAGTACCCAATCCCAGTCCTGCTCTGAGGAATTTCTGACCTTTCCCCATTGCAGCTAGAAGGCCACTGGGCAAGGGGACAGGCAACACTCAGCTCACAATCACAACAGCTCCTGGAATCAGGTTCAAGCGGTTTGTAAACAGAACTCAAATCACTGAGTGGTTTGGCTTGGAGAAGACTTTAAAGATCACCTTCCAACCCTTTCAAATTCTCATCTCCAGCTCAAGGATTTATGTATATTGGTTGCATAATCAGCTGAATACCATCAAAATAACTGAGAGCAGCTATGAGTCAGCAGTAAACTTCTCTTTGCTGAATGGTGATGGGAAGTTGGTCCTGTGTGTTATTTCACACTCACCTGGCGATCATAGTTGATTTGGGCTTCCTGTTCAATGTCAGAATCCAGCTCTGGCACGTCGGATAAATCTGAATCCGATTCCTCACTGTAGGAATCAACACCACCCTCTGCTTTGAAAAATCAAATCAAATCAATAAACTGAACACATGAAACCACAAGAAAATAGCATGTGACGTTTTTATATAATTGAGACTATGGGCAAAGCAGTATTCAAGAAGTTTGGAAGCTCCAGCAGCTTGTAAAAGTCACGGGGGCTGACTGAATGTGTCAGGATTCATTTCTGTCTCTCCTGTTTGCCTGCCCGGGGCAGGAAGGTGGCAGAGAGAAGAAAAATCACCGAGCAGTTACTGGTATAGTTCCAGCATCAGAGAATTCTGCTTTCAAAACAGAGTCTAGAGAGCAAACACGCAGAAATGGCAAATAAAAGCTTTCACTGATCACTCTTTGTGCTTAAAATATTTGCTGTAATGTAGATATTTTACCAAATTGTGCATGTACAGAGTGAAATTTTGCCCTTCTGCTGCAGGGAATCCAAATTTTAGCAATCACCATGACCCAAATCATATGGATTTGGTAGGATAATATAAGGATCATGACTGTAACAAGAAGAATATCTGAAGTACAGCTACTACATAAATATGAGAAATTTATTGTTGTGAGATATGTGAGATTGCATTGAAAAACAAACAATTAAATATGTGTAGTATGACTTCTGAGTGCAAGTTAGATGGCTAAGGTTGAAAATTTCATTATCCAGTCCCTCTAAATGTCTTCTTTCACACACTTTGAGGAATGCTGCCTATGTATTCCCAAACACAAATAATTTCAGACTGTAGCAGCTTTTAATGTGCCCCAAATCAAGGCTTGTCTTTGAAAGCTTCAGTGTCTCAAACATGCTGAGTATATGCAATTCCAAAGAATTATGATTCTTTTTTTCCTGTTAATTCAATAAAAGCTCTTCCAGCAGTGCTGCATTCTCTGCTGACTTAATTTAATAAATACTTGAACAGAGATGATGTTCACCTTGTGGAGAGGCTTCCAGGATGCCATTGGTTATCCCTTCTGGAACAAATCTCCACTGAAAAACAGAGTGATCAGCACCTCCCGTGCTCAAAACCCACTGGAAATCGTGGGACCAGCGCACATTGGTGACGTGGGCTGAGTGGCCAACGTATTTCCTGAATTTAGCTCCTGAAAACAAGAAGAGAGCTGTTGGTTTGGGGAAAAAAATTAACCTTGTAACTAATGAAGTTAGGTTCCTAACAGAAACATATGCTTGTAAAATCTGAAAATCAAAAATTACTCAAATGCCTCATTTGATATGCTGATTAGAAAAGTAATTATGATATAAAAATAAGTGGCATAAAATAATATGGACAATATCTTCAATTGTCAGCAACTTGGCAGGAAGTACCAGACACACACACAAGTTTTAATTTTCACCTTTCTGGCCATGAGTGCCAGGGTGAGCCCAACACATGCACTACATTCTTCCTAAACCAGATTTGAAAATATACTGAGATGTGACATCAAATCAAACACTGCAGCTCAGAAAGGCAAAAGATTGCTTGATTTGGATTGCTGGCTTTCTGCTTGGTACAGTGCAAATTCTGCGGAAGCAGCCACACGTTCTCAACACTTCTGGAAACAATTACACAGAGAGGGTTAAAGTCTGGTCTCATTAATGCCTGCAGGAATTGTGCACACATTAATTTGAATTTTACAGCAGAATGAAAAGCCACCATTAGAAAATACACTAATACGGTGTTGAGGCAAATCTTGCATTTTTCAGCCATGCAGAATTCCATCTTACCTTTCTTTAGGCACGGAAATCTGAATAATTTCACCAGCCCAAAGTCATCACCAGTCACCAGCACGGAGCTGTTGTAATTCCCATCCACAGAGTTGACATTTGTGATGTTTGTGTATTTTGGCCAAATTCCACTCACTTCAGAGCCTATCACACAGGTCCACGAGGCCCAGTGAATTCCTTTGATCTCATCTTTGCTTGTTAGATGCTTCCCAGCTGAAAATGGGCAGGTGAATTAACCAATTTCATCATTTGCTTTTCAGAAACTCTGTTTCTTTTCTTTATATTTATCTGTGTATTCTAGTTGTGATTAATTTTTAACCTCAATTAAGAAGAGTCACAATCTTCTTTAAATTACTATAATCTCTCATTTGTGGTGTTTGAGGACATCACAGATCTAAGGAGTTCTAATGCAGCTGTATTAGAAATAATTAGAATACTAATGAGAATTAGTATGCTAATTAGGATTAGCATGCTAAAAACATTGGGAAAACTTCATAGTTCTAAATCTTCCAAAGAAATGCCTTCAAGTAGAAAGTACTGTGAATAGCATGAGTTCCTAGAACACTTTCAAGTGCCAGAAGGTTAATAATACACAATTTTAAATCATGCTGACGTGCTAGAAGTTTTTCATCCAAATTAAGTCCCTGAAATGTGACAATGTGGTCAGTCAGCCATTCTGTGGTACGTTTTACTTACAGGGGCTGTTTTAGAGTTGATTGAATGCTGTCAAACTAGCTCAAAAGAGCCCAAAATTTTATTTCTAAAGCTCTCTTCTGCAAAAGTTTCCTCTACATACTAGAAAGCATTCTCAAATAAGAGTGAAAATAAGTCAATTAGCTATCAGTGTTGCTTCTACTAATAAGCTTTTACATTGAGAACCTCAGCAATTCAGGCTGACTCAAACACTTCTCCTATTTTTACATCCTTAAAAACATTCTGATCGCTAACAGGAATCATTCATCATTTGAAGGAAGGACAACAGGGACAGAGGGGCATTGGCAGCTGCCTGAGAGCAACCTATAAAAGTTGCTATGAAAAAATATGTAATTTACACAGCAGAGACAGCTTATCCTTAAAGCTGAGGCTATTCAGTGAGCATTGATTTAAAAAACCATCAGTGGTTATTTCTCTAAGTTCCAGCCAGGAAACTCCACTTTCACCTGTAATATTTGTGTTGTATTTGTGGTGTTCTCTGAAACTGGAGGATTTGTTGCACTCCCCGATTTTTTTGTATCTCTGGGCTACGGCGTAGATGTCCACGGGGCCATCGTTGGAGCCCACGGCCAGGTAGGAGCCGTCCGGGGAAAACTTCATCTCGTGGATCACCTCCTTGCGGTCCTTGATGTGAACCACCTCGGTCATGTCCCTGCAGGAGCCAGAGGGGGGAATGACAGCTGGAAACCCAGGGATTTGCAATCCACAGATAAAAAGATAGATGCACTGAATAATTTGTACAACAAAAATTAGATTTCATTCTAAAAATACTTTTTTTTTTTTTTGTGGCTAACTTCCTATTCTTTCCATTGATTCTAAGTATTTTTTAAAGCAACAGACAGAAACCACACAGCCTGTCCACAGTGCTCTACATTCTCTTCACCTGCTCTAATGAAGTACTGCTAGCAGCATCCCACACAGATTTATTGAGATACATTTTATAAGTGCATCTTTCAAACCCTGACACACAGCACTGTTAAAAGCGGGGTCCTGGAAGGAGAAGCATTCCTAACCCAAGACAGAGATTTCTAGGAGGCATCAGACAAATTAACAAGGACAAGATTACTGGGAGACAAAGAAGATTAACTTCTTTAGAAAAATAGTCACTGGGAAGGCTTTTAAACTAATATGAACAGCTCACTTAAGTTTTGTTAAAGTCATTAAAGCAGAGCATTAGAGGGGTTTTCCCAGGCTTTTCCCTCCTATCAGCTTGGAGTTCCAAGTATTTTAAGTATATGCTTGGCAAACATATGGGGAATAGTCAGGAGGGGGTAAACTCTTCCAGGTATCAATTGAAACAGCTTTTGTGTTTTGAAAACACACTGGGGGTTTGGATGTTTCACTCTAGGGCCAGTTTAAGGCTTTACCTGCTTCTGAGTGCCCTCCATAACAGCATTTCAGACAGAAAATGCTTAAGATGCAGCCATGCAAAATAAAGAAAAGACTTTCCTCTAACACAAAAAGTAGAATTCAGGTTTATCTTGAAAAGAGTTAAAAATATCTTCTGATCACCAATTATTTTGCCCAGTATGTGTATGACAGGAAATAAATCAACACTGAAGAAGATCCCTCTCCAAACTGTGTTCTCTCTGTTATGTACATTTCTTCTCAATAAATAGCTGTATAACTTCAGACCACAGGAAAAGAGCCAAACTTGTAAATCTTAAATTTTATCAACATTATTACTAAGAGCTAATATTCTGAAATTAATTAAAGCATATATTTTCTCCTCTTTTCCAAACTACCACCTCTTAAAAGGGATGCACCTGCAATTACTATTTCTTTTTCTTCTGCTAAGATAGCCAGTGGTTTTCTCATCTTACCTTACTCTGAGGACAATGAAGGAGCCATCCTTCATCCCAAGTGCCAGCTGGGATCCGTCAGGACTGAAGGACACGCTCCGTACGGCCTCTTCCATATTGCAGCGTGCAATCAGGGCGTGGTCAGCAAGGCTCCACAACCTGCCCCAAAGGGAAGGGAAAGCAGGAGGGGGCTTTCCTGACTGCCCAGGGTTAGGGTGGCATCAAAAGGAACCCCAAAGGTCTAACTCAGCTGGGAAAATGTCTTGTACACACCCCTTGAGTTAATACTGTGTAAAGGATTGAGGTGCTTTCAACCTGAACACAGCTGTGGTAGCAGAGAACAGAGTGAAGCTCAATTACATCATCATTTGGTGTTATTTCCAAACTTCTCTTATCTGACTGAATTCCCCAATATGAATTAAAAAAATGCAGTTTCTGTAGACAGGAAGGGTCAATGCAGCTCTGAGTGACATTTTCACTCAGGAAACATGAGCATTCCAACCACAGGGAAGACTTCCTTGTCCTAACTCTGAACGAGCAATGAGACAAAGCTGCATATGGATTCCCTCATTAACATTGGTGCAATTAAAATGAATCAACCAGTAAATTATGTCCTAAGATAAAGGCAAAAAATGCCCCTTTATTTTTCTGAAGGAACAGAGGGAGCTTCCCAAATCACTCCAGGTTGACCCATCAGATCTCAATAGTCTGCAAGACTTAGAAATAATGGGGGGAAATGCATAAAATACCTCACTCAGGGTAGAGAAATTAAGGCAACAATACCCAACTATCTTTGCTTTGAGGATAGAGTCAAAAATGTAATGTATTGATAACATCTTCAGTAGAATATGTGGACTATGAATCAGCAGATGTGATCATGTGCTAAACTGGAGAAAAGAGCTATTTGTGCAAGAACTGTAATGTGACGATGAACCAAGTTGTAGAGCAAAGCTGGACAGAAAGGAACAGGCAGGCTGGATGGGAGGCATTACTGAGAACCATAGTAAAAGCTCTGGAACAGTAACAATTCCTATTTTCACTGAAGGCACTGGCACCAAGGATGTGGGTGCTACTGAGCTCAGCTCTGCACAGGGAGCACAAGAGACTCCAAGAGAAAACAGTTCTGATGCTGGCACTGGAATAAACAGCATAAACACGACTTGGATGGAGCCTGAAAAGAGGGTGGGAGATAAATCAGTGTGGGACATTAAAGCTGTTTTCAAAGACAAACCAGAAGTAGGATCAAGAATCTTGCAGCCTCACAAGGCAGAAGCTGCAAGCCAAATATAAAAAAGAATGAACCAGGAAGGCTTTGGAAAGATTTTGAAGAAAACACCAGGATACAATTATTGCTCCAAAATGTTGTTTCCACATAAATCATGTCCAATATCTGGAAGCCTAACTGCAAAACATGACCATCTATTTAATAAATGTAATAAATAATTCTTTGTGCCTTCAGAGAATGATAATTTTCCCCTGTTCCTGTAATAAGAGACAGGGAACAGGCAGCTTGCCTAGTTGAGATGGTTTGATTTAGAAATTTAAAATGTTTAAAACCTGTATTTGGCTATTTCTCTCAGCTGGGCTAGGGAAAAATACAGCAACTCCCCTTCTCATTTAGACATCCCAGACACAAGAATATGACCTGAATCACTAAACAATTTCTTGACCAATTTAGATTTCTATTATATACCCACTCTTTGAAAAATAGTGTGATAATCAAATATTAAGAAAAAAAATCCAATGAAGGGCAATACAGAAACATCCATGTTGACACAATTTTAGTATTAGAGAAAAATTTCACAAAAACACTTTTGTGTATTTTTTAATCTCAAGGGAAGTATTTATACATTTCAATGGAATTCCTCACATGAAGCCTATAGGCTATAAAATCTATTAAAAAAATCCCATTAGAATTGAAATCCCACCCTCCCTAGTGCCCAACCAGCTCAAAGAAGTGTGATGTCAGGCAGTACAGCCCTTGCAGCTGAGAGAATGGCACATCCAAAGGCATCAGGGATATCATAAGTGCTCCAACAGAGATAAGAATGATAAGAGCAGCACTAATCACGGTCTGATGTGCACGCAGACCCTGCAGTGCTTCCTGGAGGGGCCCGGGCTGGGCCAGCCTCTGAGTCAGCAGCACCTCCTCCAGCTCCAGGAGCTGAATTACTCTGCCCACCCACCAAGGGATGAGCCCAAGACAAGAAATCCCATTTTAGTGGGATTATTGGCTTGAGAGCAGGGCAATGCTAATCCCAGCTTTGCAGCCCTTCCTCTAGAGCTGACCTGCATCCTGCCAGGACACTTGTGCCTGTCTGCAACGCTGGGCATGCAAACCCCAGCAGAAGAGACCATTCATGCACTGCAGAAACCGAAAGAAATCATCCTCCTGTAGGAAGCAGGGAGGAAACAGGATTGTGGAGAACAACTGGCAGTTCTGTGGGTTTCACACTTGGATTATAATTGGGGTTAGAAAGAGATGAGGGATGGCAGGGATAGGAAACCAGTACAAGTGAAAAGATTGAAAGGGAAGAAAAAATAAATCCCAGCTGAGCAGCAAGCCTCAAAGCAGAGGTGAATCATAATGTGCAGTCTGAAGGTGCAGTAATCAGAAGCTGGGAGTATGGTAGGAGATGGATTTTTGTCACTCAGGAAAATCCCCATCTCTTTAATCACAGGTAAATAATCAGTTCCACTGGGCAGAATCCATGCTCAGGTGAGAACATACAGCAGCTCTGCAGGTGTGGACTCAGGGAGAGACTGAAATGGACCTCCAAACTCTACAATCAAGTCTTACTAAGTACAGTAAAATGCCTCTTTTTCCCCAGAGGCTTATAAATATGCTAGAGTTTAACACAGGAGGAAAAGGAGCATCCCTGACTTTGTGACAATGTCCACAAATATGTGGACAAAATTTAAAAATTCTGCTACAAAGCCTGAAGATGCAAGTGGTGTAACTAAACACAGGATCACAGAATATCCTGAGCTGGATGGGATCCATCAGGATCATCAGTACAGCTCCTGGCCCTGCACAGACCCCCCAACAATCCCACCCTGGGCATCCCTGGCAACGCTGTCCAAATGCTCCAGCAGCTCCAGCAGCGTCAGGGCTGTGCCCTTTCCCTGGGGAGCCTGGGCAGTGCCAGCACCCTCTGGGGGAAAAACCTTTCCCAATATCTATCCTAAACCTCCCCTGACTCAGCTCCAGAGGTTCCCTCGGGTCTTGTCACCGGTCACAGAGAGAAGTGATAGTGGCTGCCCCTCCACTGCCCCTTATGGTGTCGGTGCATTTTCATTAATCTCATCTTCTGGCATTTTAACTGAATTGATTTTAGACCAGATTTCCTAAACACTCAAGGCTGAGGCAGACATCTTCTGAGTAAAACACTGGACAAAGGTATTTAGACTCTAAGCTTGTTGCTTGATATTACCAGAAGAGAAGTGAGGTGACCATTCCCCATTTAGATACCCTGTACACAGCAGGAATAAATCAATAATACAAGCAGAAGAGATAAATCCAGCACATTTTGAACATAAATTCTGATTATTTTTACACAATGTATGATAGCCAAATATGAAAACTGAAGAGAAAAAGCAAAGCTGCTAAGAAAAATACAGGGGGGAAAATGTCTTAACAGAACCTTACCAGAAGGGCAGCAAGTGAATCCATTACAAATGAATGTGCACATGAAGGAACAAACTCAAAAAAGCAGATCCAGCCTTACCGCACGGAGCGATCGTCGCTGCCGGTGACCGCCAAAGGCTTCTTGGGATGCACGGCCAGGGCCCAGAGCTCCCCCTCACAGTGGCCCTGCATGATCAGCATGGGTTTGTCCCTCTCCCTGACGAGCACCTCGAAGATCTCGCTGTCCTGCGTCCCCGCCAGGAGCCTGTCGGCTTTCCAGCACACGCTGCGGATGGACAGTCCTGCGGGCACGGCAGGAGCTGCGCTCAGCGCCGCCCGTGCCACCGCTGCCGGTTCCACAGCCCATTCCCCACCGACAGCTTTGCCACTGGCACACACACAACATCCAGCTGGATCCATTGCTCCCTCAGATTTACTCCATTTGGTACACAAAACATCCTTGCTGAGCACCTTGGGCATTTACAAACCAGCTCCATTTCACGGGATTTAAAGATCAAAATTTTCTATTAGCCGAGGAGTTCCTGTGACTGAAGCTGGTTTATTCCTTTTTCCAGTGCTTCATTTTTTTGCACATTCAAATAAAATTTTAATGGTGAATTTCAATGGTTTGTGCCCATTTATCACACTCTTCCACCTCAATCAAAATGGATTATTAAAAAGACATGAAAAATTACATTCCTCCTCTCCAAATCCAAACCAACAGAGTTTTGCTTTGTATAACTTTAAGACAGCTTGAACTTATTCCACAAGTCTGATCCTAACTTTGGAGCTGGAATTTTACTGACCACGAGCTTGTAAACACCCTCTCAGCAGGCTGAGCAATTTAGTAGTACTCTCTGATCAACTGCTTGCAGGGTTTGTATTTTCTGTTCCAGTACATGAAAAGCAGTTTGGATAATAGGTCTAGATGCTGTGAAATGTGAATGAATTAAAAAATCCATTTGTCATGTAGTCAAGGTCACCCACATCATCATTTTCACATATTTTTGGAACCAAATACAAAATGCAGTGAACTACAGGTCACATAAATAAAATATTCTCATCTCCTGAGACTTTATTTTCTCCTGATTTATTTTCTTGTCCATTTCCAACAGCTTTTAATTTTTATAATGCCATTTGATGACTTAGCTAAATTCACACTGAAGTTTTGATTTTCACCTTCTTGGAACACACCAATGACCACACAATGGAATTCAGATTGGAATTCGGTGGAAGATGGACATTGTTAAGATCTGAACACAAGCACAGCTTTGGATGTGGGAAAAGCAGTGCTCTCTGTGAACTGCACATGAAGGAAGATATCTGCTCTCAGGGTTTGTTTGACAGACAATGCCTTTGCACAATGCTTTGGAAAAATAACTGCAAGGGAGGGACAGAAGGTCCCAGATAAGCATTAAGGCTCCATCACTGCTCAAGGCTACTGAGGTGTTTAAGTCAATCAGTGCCAATGCCAACTGAAAATGAAACCCCACTTCCAGAGGTTGGGAGTAGCCTCAAAGGCAGTTTTCACTTGCCCAGATCTTTGCTTTGTGGTTATATGTTGCTAAAATTTTTCTAGAAATTTTAAACATTACAATTCAGGCTGCAAAACACTTCATAAAGCCAGGAGTGCAGAGCACAGGGACTGCTGCTTGGGTGTCTTGGACAACTTTTTGAGGGCTAAATTCCATGAGTGAACATTACACCCTTGATAAAGCATACATGGGGATCTATGAGATTATAAGTGCTTCAAACCATAAAATAAAGCGATGATTGAGCTCACAGGAAGCAGGATTAGATTCAACAAATGTGATTATCACCAATTTAATAACATTCTCTCCAACAAACCTGCCAAATGCTACCATTCCAAGGGCATGTGTGGAGTGGTCAGATGGTCAGCATCTCTGTGCATCGGGTTCCAGAAATCTCAATTAGTTAAATGAATTGCAAATAAGTAATTAAAAAAGGATTGGCTAACTACATTCTCCCATCTTAAGGTGTTTGATGAGCTCTCGCTTATCTTCTAGCATTTGCATGGTGGGAGCAGTGATTTCATCTCTGTGTTCATATCATGAACCAGGGGAACACTCCACAGGTTACAGAATAGTCAGAGAAGGAAGGGAACACAGATCCAAAAATAAATATAGCCATTAAGTGAGAAAATCAGCAGCATGCAGAGACATCTATGCTTCACATTAAATGCTGTCACAATCCATTATCCAGATGTGTGAAAAACCATTAAAGGAATAGTTCATTACCTTTGTATCCTTGTTCAGTCTCCCTGAGATCAATTTTAGTAATTGGTTTGAACTCGGTGTCCCACAACCGAATGCAGCCATCTCTCCCTCCAGTGGCAAAGCCTTCTTCACAGGCATACATACTAAAAATTCCAGCCTGTCAACCAACAGCAGCCCGAGTTTTAAAGGCCTTTACAACCAATTTAAACACACAAAGCAAAGGTTTTCAAACTCTTGTTAAAGGCCAGAACCTGCTGGGCACAAAAGTGTTGCCCATCCAGAAAGCAAACCAGCAAACACAACTTTTATTTCAAGTGCTCCACTCGAGTGGTTTATGTAGAAACCTTTGTGCAAACAGCAGTGATGCAGCCTATCTGCAGAACTTCAAATTTAGGTTAGGTAATATTATGACAAGGACAATTGACTAACTAATGGAGCACTTAAAATAAAGAGTTACTTGTGATAAACAAAACCAAGCAAACAAGCAATACAAATATTCTTACAGGAGCAGAGGTGACTGAGACATTCTTTCATGAATTCAGCTCAGACATCATTTGGAATCTGACAGGAACTGAAAGAGTGTCAATTCATTCTCTTTGAGGAAAACAAGTCTCTATTACAGTTTGAATTTCTCCTTGGTTCTGAAAATGTCTCATGATTAATGACTGTGCTGAACTATCTTGGAATAGTTCGAGGAATGCCTGATGAGTCCGTATTTTATCAGGAAAACCTTGCTTGGGAGATAAGGTGAACTGCATGGAGATAAATACAATGGAGAGAAGACCTCCATTTTCAAAGTAGCCTTGTGCAATGTCTTCATAAATTAATATTTCTAATTATTAATTACATAGAGATTGCATGTTAGCCATGGCAAACTCCATAATTTATCACATTATGTATAAAGAGGATGTATTCAATCATTCTAACAAATCTAAAATTCTGCAAACAGAATTCTGCTAATATACTACAGGGGGTTACTGCTTGCCAAAGACATTCCTGTGTTATTGCAGCTGCAGTTTCACAGCAGTTCCTCAGGGAAAATGTCCCACTGACTCCAGTCCTCTGCTTTCATAAATTAGGGATCACTTTTATAAATAATCAATACTTAGATCTCATTTGAAGAGGTGCTACAAATCCTGATGAACTGTCACCTTAACTAATTTTGGGAGATCAGGAAAAAACCTGTTATTTTTGCAGTGCTCTTTCTAGAACAAAACTATAGTAACAAGTGTTAGATGCCATATCACTTTTCTAAAGAAAACTGTTTTATTTCCTTTTGTTCCAAAAACCCCACAGCAGAATGCCATTGCCCACAGCCACATTCCAAATAGGAGAAGCTCTCAAATGTATTTGAAATAAGACAAGGAAGTTCTACTGTGCTTTATTGCAGCAACAACAGAGGCAAATTAATTGTATTAGACTGGTTAGAAATCTAACACAATCCTGCACATCCCCCTTTCACTCTGTAATTATGAGAGCTCCAGACTGGGGGTGGTGGTTTGTGGGTGTGTGTTATGGACACAATTGGAATAAACTGTTTGGAATATGGCTGGGGTGCAAACTCACAGATTCAACAGGTTTCTTCCACACTGAAGCTCTTCTGAGGAGTCAGTCTCCAGCACTGGGACTTTAATGGTAAAATTTTTTTAAGCCTAGATAACCTGCTTGCCAACTATTTTTATGTATATTGATCATAACTGAAGCTACTCAATCTGTGAAACTTTAGATTTACAGACTTCATTTGAGGTTTGGTTTACTTGGTTAGATGGAGGCTATAAATATCAGCAATTCTGGCACTATCAGCCCGGCATCAGTTGGCAACACATCAACAAGTACAACATTACATCTAAGTTCTTAATTGCTGAACAGCCTCAGACATCCTTCTGACCCGAAACAGAAGGAAATCTTTGTAGCTAAGTCTTCAGGAAGTTTTTCAGTTCAATCAACAGTTCATTATCAAACAGACATGAAAACACCACTTACACTGTGTGCTCCTTGAATTGTGCGGACCAAGTTGAGCCCTTTCCAAACATAGATGTCTCCATTTAAAGCCCCAGAGTAGGTGATGTCTTCTTTAGCACAGGCTAAACACAGGATTGTTTGGAGATCTCCTGTTTTACCAAATATTCCTCTTTTTGCTGTCAGTGCGTTCCCACACAACGTCCAAAACTGTGAAATGCAAATGGCAGATGGCAGGAGAGGTTTCTGCAGAATTTCTGGTTTTTCACATTAGTGTGCAGATGGCAGACACACATCCTGACAGAGCAGAGTCTGGCCAGGCACTGAAATGATTCCTTCAGTCCTGTCAGAGCACCCCCTACTCCAAAGCCTGCCCATTTACCAAGGAAAGATGCAGGCAAATGTGCATCTAAACCCAAAGGAAATGATCAAACTGCTTGAGAGGGTGAGGCTCAGTGCTGCCTCATTACTGCCACACTGCCCTTTCTCATTTTCTCACTGTCCTTTATCAGGTTTTGCTGGGAAATGCTGTCCAGACAAGTGCATGTTTTTAAACCCAAGAAAATCACATTTTTCTTGTCTGCAAAACACAGCTACGGCACTGAAGTGATAAAATACTTTATCTTGCACAACCTGCGTGCTGGAGCAGACATTTCTGCCCTTCTCCAGTGCACTGAAAGAGTTGTGCCCCTCAAATATAGTCACAGTTACTGAGAAACCATCTGTTCCACGGGGACTGCAAACGCTCGTACGTGAGACAACTCCCTGACTCCCGGAGTAACAGGTTCCCAAGTGTGGAAAGGGGACGTGCTCAGCTGCCACACAAAAGTCATTAACATTCTGCAAAAAGGAATCCATGACTGGGGAGGAGAAGAGTGAAGAAAACAAAGTTTGCCTCAGAAGGTTGTCTTTGGAGGTGAGCTAGAGATATCAGACCACCTTTTTGAGTAAGGGTGCTTTTTATTTATTTAAATGAACATCATTTACCAAGCAGAGACCACAGTTTGTGTACTCAGCTCCCCCTCAAGGACCAGACCTTCCAGGGAAGGAAGAATAAAGAGAATATCAATGAAAGATGTGCAAGGGAAGCGCTGAAATCTCCAGTCCTGTCAGCACCAGGATGTTCTGGACAGGTGCAGATACAGAACAGCAAATCTCTGGGGTGCAGCCCAGCACAGCGTGTCAGTGGAGCCATCCCTGCTCTGTCAGCTGACAGACACTGGCAGAGCCTGCACAGGAATAGTGATGTGTCTGACACGGATTCATCATGTCCATCTATTCCCACTTCATTTACCTACAGCCACATTTTTAGGTATTTTTCTAAAGTTCTTTTTTCCAGAAAATCCTTGGATCAAGGTTTTTTGTTTCAGCTCCCTCTCTATCATTAATGCAATGAAATTTCCCCTTTGCCTCTTAACATCAGAGGGAGTACTGCCTCCAGGGCTCTCATTCCTTGAGTAAAACCTAAACTCCCCTCCCTTCTGGTCAGCTGAGGAAGGGTTGGAGAGCAGGCAGCAGTGTTGGAAGGGTGGAGGGAGGATCCTGAGCTCAGTGAGAGATTCCTTAGCTCCTGGGCTTTACCTCAGCTTCTAATTCCTGCTCAGCCAAGTGAGCCAGCAAAACTGGACTGCTAAAGGAATAAACAGCACAATTCCCAAGCACCAGCCCCAACTCCCACAGTGATACAATTCCTTTAGAGCTGTTATTATCACCTTCTCACAGCCTTGTACCAAACAGCACGTTCAGGCAGCTGCTGGAGCACCACTGGAGGGGAACACGGAGTAATTTCCCCTCCATGCTGCTTTTTTCCAATTTTTTGGCATTCCTTTATCTCTGTGTATTTATAATTTGCAATACACAGATAAAGCCTGCTATTCTCTGTGTTCAGGGTGATTATAGCCATTTCAAACAGCAGACAGGTGCCAAACAAACCCAGGTTTTGGAAAACAGCTTGCAGAACACAACAGATGGTATCACTGCTGCCAAAACCACCCACAGTTTGAAGCAGTGGTGGTTTAAGGGCACGAGGTTCTCAGGAACCAGAACTAGAGATATTAACTGGTTTCCTAAACTTCTAGTTAAAGCTCTTCCCACCCCAGTCATGTGAAATAATTGCCATCTGTTAGGAATGTTTTTGAGGAGACAGGAGAAAAATAGAAACCTGAAGGGGATATTGGCAGACAAGGATTTGTTTCTAAGCTTTCCACAGGCATGGGAATGTTTTATCCTAAACATCTAATATATATCTAGATTTCTATTTCAAACACTTCCATAAAGGGTGACTTAGAGGGAGCAAACAGTGGGGCACCAGAGTTTTGTCTCTGCAGGCCCTGCACGCTTCTCAGTGGTGTTACATGAGAAGCCCAAGTGCGGGTCCTTCTGTTCACCCTTTTTACCTTGGTTCCTCCTACAGCTGCACAGTGACCCTTTGTGATGCTGGACAAGAAACCCCTAAAGGCTGAGGCCATTAGGGTGGAATGGAGAGGGCAGAAAACCCAAAATTGTAAGTGTATAATGATGAAAATTGCACCAAAGGATTTTCCTGACTTTCTTGTTCAGGTAATCTGCAGCTAAAGCACTGCTGAATGTCTGAACTGGCTTCAACCAATGCATTCAGCAAAATGCTCACAGCAGAAAGAAAGGAAAATATAATCTGTCCTACATTTCAAGTCCTCATCAGGTGAGAACACAGATTTCTTTTTGTGCAAGTAATTTTTCCAAGTAAACAACGAAAGCTCTTTACCTTTATGTGTTTTACTCCACAGCTGACAATTCTGTTTGGCTGATATTGATCCCAGGAAATATCAAATATCTGTTAAGAGATACATTAAGCTGATATTTTAATCTATACAGAAATGGCATCTAGGTTCAGCTAGGTTTAGCCATAATTTCTGTTGAAACATATGACTAAAAATGAAAAACACTCTACAGGTAAATTTGGAATTCTTTGTAATCAAAGGTCAAGGCAAACATGGAGGGTTCCTCACACAGTTCTGTCAACACACTTCATCCCTGTCTCCACACTGCCAACCCATTCCAGCTCCAGGATATTACTGAATAAACAATATTTACACAGGCATTCTTTCCCACTCCCTCTTCTGTGCAGAAGCTCCTTTTTCTAGTTGGGAAAGTCTACTGGGACTAAGATTTTAGTACTTCTAGCCTGTCCTGGAGAATTCTGTTCATTCTGATCTTGCACTTACTGAGGTCAGTAGCAAAACTTTCACTGATGTAAAACATGTTATAATATGATAATATATATATATAAGTTGTCAGAATGTATCCATAATTTATTTTAACATATGCATCCATGTGCTTATATATGTCAGGGAGATATTTTGCTTATGCTAAACCTGGTAAAACATTTCCTAATCCTGAATGACATTCTAAATTTAAACCTGGCTAGTTCTCATCTTTATTTAAGTTATGATCCTTTACCTGAAGTTAACAGATGTAAAAGAAATATTTATCTCAATCAAGTTTCTTCTACAGGTAACTGTCTTAAGGAAAACTGAAAGGGCTGTAACTAAATTTGCCCTCAGGATAAATTGTCTTTTTGACATACTCAGAGACAAGATGATCTTTGGCCACTGAGTTCTCATTTCACATCTCATACAAAGAGCTACAGATGCCCCTACTCAGTGTGTAGGCACAATGTATTTCCTCTCTAGGCTTACTAACAGTGCCTTGTGCTGGGTCTGGCACAATCAGAAGGAATAAATATCTTGTTCATTATTTTAAAAGCCAGGTAGAATGACCAAAATAACCTTTGCATTAACCTAATCAAAACAAAACTTATTTTTAAAACACTTGTGCAGCTCCCAGACAAAATCCAGGAACGCTTCCATACAATTACCCTGTCGGAATGGCCTGTAGCTGTCGCCAGGAGCTTTCCTCTCTTCCAGTCCCAAATACACACCGTGTTTTTGGCATCCAGTCCCACAGAAGCCAAACGCTGAGGAAAAACAACAGCAATCCAGTTAACAGGAAATCAACCCCAAATCACCTTGCTGTAGTTCCCAGGATTATGAGCACAAATGGATTTTCCCACATGTGACCTGGGTCTGAACCATGTTGCAAAGACATTCACACTCAACATTTACTGCAGAGAGCACTGAAATGTCTCATCTTCTCTAAAAGGTCAGGTTATTGATTTTAGGCTACCAATGTTTCCAGTGAAATTCTTACCCTGAAACACCTGAGGTGCTTGTTTCAGGTACACCCCTCTCTCACATTATGATTTATTAATCTGATAATGAAAGGGAAATAAAAGCTTTCACAATTTGCAACTGCTGCTGTGTTCATTATGTTCATTTTGTTGAGCTGTAGAACCAGAACTGGATGTACTTTTAATAATTGTCTTATTCATAGCTTAGTGTATAACATCACCAGTTAAAATAATTTAAATAATTAACTAATAACCAAGTTAAATTAAAGTTTTACTGGTCATCAATTAAAGGAACTTAATTTTAATACTTTTCCATCTCAATAGTGGAAGAAATAAAAAGAACAGAATAAAACGGAGGGGGCATTTTGGAAGGTTAAAAGCAGAATGGATCCATCTGTGACATGCCCAGATGATCAGCCCTTACTGTGGAAGTTGTAGCTCTTTTCCCTTCCAGTGACTGTCCTAATTTTGTCCAACTTTACATGAATTCCATAAAAAATTGGCTCAAATTCTGAGTAAGCAAATTGTTTAAAATCTGGATGTGTCTGTGATAACACAAAAGGACTGATCCAGCAAAGAAAACAAGTGTCATTATCCTAGAGTCCTCTAAAATGCTCTATTAGGAAAAATATTAAATGCAATAAAGCTCTCAGTAACAGAAAAGGGAAAAAACTGTTCATAGAGGAACAGGAAGCTCCAGCTTTCATTCTGCAGCAATAATTCAGAGAGCAGGTACCTGAGGCCTTTTCATCCCATTCCTGAGCGTACATCTTCCCTCCTGGGAGAGCCCCCTTACAGCCTCTGCATTAACTGCAGGAGGTTCACACACCTTTCACTGTCTTAACAGTCTCAGTTTCTTGATTTAGAGGAATGAAATAGATGGTTTGGGACTTTGGTTTAATGAGAGATAACTACAGGCATTACCTCGATTCAAAACCTGAATAATGCAGAACTCAGCCACTGTCCCACCAGAAAATGCACCAAGCAATGTGGTATTAATGAAAACAACAAAACAAAAATCCTCCAAAAAGCCCAACTCAACACCCCTCACCACCACCACCAGAAAAAAACTATTTACAGACTTATACCACAAGTTTCTCTGAGCCCAGACTCCTTCTGTGGGAATAAAACTACAGAGAAATTAAATGAGCTGTTCTTTGAGGAACACAAAGTTTTCAATCTAGGGGCAATCTAGGTATGCTCTCAGATATTGTTGGGAGGAACAAGGTTCCCTTGGAGGGTTCACCCTACAGGGGGGCAGAACTCTGTCAATGGGCTCTGACTCATAACAGAGTTGTGAAGGGAGAGTTAAAGAAGTTTGTACAGTGGAAAAAAGAAATAAAATTATAGTTTTTGCAGGAAGTCACAATTCTGCCTGAATTTCTGCACTTTAACATCACTCAAAACTTCAGTAGAAGTTGGGGCACTGGAGCTGGTCAGTGTCAGTGTTACACCACTCCCAGCTGCAGGAAACTCCTCTGGCACTGAGGACACAGCACAGTCACACGTAGGAAGGAGCCCTAGAGTGGGAAGTGGGAAATCAGACCTTAAACCTACTGTATATGTGCAGACAATGCCTATACTCAGCTTCCTAAACATCCCTGTTCCCAAGCACTATTAATGCCTCCCCTCAGGGTACTTTGGCAACAACCACCAGGAAGAGCTGGGGCAAAGAGAACACTTTCCATCCAGGGAGAGAAGGACAATCTGTAATTAAACTCCCTTGATTTTGGAAAGCAATTTAATTCAATGTTATAGTTGTTGTAACAACTGTATTGTTACTGTAGTGCTGGAAAATGAGGGTTTGAGACCTGTTTAAAACAGTCTCAAGCAGAGGGGAACTTAACAGACAACACAGAGAATAGAAATGTTCAGTTCCCTTGACATTGCAAAATAGAGCATAACTACTAACTAGCAAATTCAATAAAACAATATAAAAGACACAGAGGATACTGAAGGCATCTGGAACCAGTGGATAAACAGATCATGTGGAACCTGAGTGGGCTTTGTGGCAGTTCTGTTCCAAGAAACACCAATGGATGCCCTGAGATGTTCAAGGCAAGGTCATTACAATACTGGGGGCTCTCGGTGAGTACAGCCAGAGGAGGCCCCTATAGACATCCCTCTAGGGCTTCAAAAGCAGTTCCAGTGAGGGGCAGAGGTGTGGAAATTAGTTCTAGGGAAAGTGGTGGTTATTTATTAGCTGGGAAGTACACTGTAATATGTCTGATGAGGATGGAATGAATGACCTGTTGTAAAGTTTAATGACACACATTTGATTAGAGAAAAAAATCACTCTTCCAACTGTGTCCAATGCTGGAATAAGGAATTGTTGCTTTCTAAAATTTGAAATTGTGTTAGGAAGTTTATTCCTTAGCTGACTTTGGTAGCAGCAGGGAAAGCACTATGGGAAACTAAGAAATACTTTATACTTTCTTTTAACCTTGGCCTGCTGAGGAAGGTCTCCTACCAGTAGAAAAGTGATAAATGCTGAATTTCGGTTTTGGTTTAAATACACTTTTAGTTCTCCTTCTGGAAGGGAATTTGACAGAATTCCATTCAGAGAATTCAGAGAACTGCCAGAAGAAAGTATCTGCCAAGTAGTTTAGGCACATAATTAAACAATTATTTTTAAATCTGTACAGATTTGGAAGATCTGGCTAAAGAAGCCTAGTGCTGTATTTTTAATTTCTTCATTAGGTGTGTATGCATTATGGCAGTGCCCTTCCCATGCCATTAAAAATATTTTTAGAAAGCACATAAAAAGGGTTAATCTGAAATAATTCAGAGCAGAAATTGAACTGTGTGGTATTGATAAAATCATTCAGTATGAGGCACCTGCTTTGCAGGTAATTCTGTGAAGAGGAGACATTAGTACTTTTAAGGAGAAACTGTAGTTAACTCCTGATTGAAGAGAATACATTTTTAATTACAGGCAAAATGACAGCTCCTCATTAAACATTTGAACCAAGTGCAGTTTTTCTCCTGCCAAATGGCAGCTCCTGCTCAGATAGGAAAAACCCAAACAAAAAGATGTATTTTTAAATAGCAACGCTTCTGCAAGAAATTCAGCTCCCATCAGGACTATATTAATCACAGGTAACACAAAATGGGAAATTTACTCTGATTCTATTTGTCTCCAAAAGCTGTGTTGAAGGTACATAAAACAAAGGAAACATTCAAGCTCTCCCCTGTGTACTGATGATGCCCATTTATTGGAAACAGTAACAAATGCTGTGCACAGGGATCGTTCCCCAGCCTGTGGCACACTAGGCCAGGGAGGCACTGCAGGAACCACTGGCTCCGTGCAGGGTCAGCTCCAGTCCGGCCGGGAGGAATATTTCCCCACTAATCCTTCCAAAAGGATGGGATATCCTGGAGTTTCTAGTTGAACTTGGCTCTGTTTGACACCCCACCCAGGGAGCTTCACTCTCACAGGAGCGCACAGGGAGCTGAGCTCAATCCATGGAGATCCACGCTGGGAGTGCAGCAGTCTCCTGGGCTTTGCCTCTGCCTGCTTTCATTTAGGAAGTGGACAGCTGGCAGAGTTAGCAGTGAAAAGAATACAGTTCCTGTGTGTTTGTAACGTTCCTGATTGTTGCATTTATTTGTGTTTTGGGGCTGAAATACAGCTCTGGCTTTTAACAGCCTTTGGATATAAAGGAAGGAAAGTTTTGTACTGGGAGGTGCAAGCAGTGTCTGCAGTCTGTTTTGCCCTGTCACAGACACCAGCTCCCTTGGGAATGCTGACTAAACAAACCAGAGCAGCCAGCAGCTCTGAGCTCCAAATACTCACAGACTTCCTCCCGTGCCCTTTAATTCTGGCTCAGCAGCTTCTCCTGCAATGCCAGGAAGAGCAGCAAAAAGCCAAGATGCATTATCCATATTCATGTTCTCCAGCACTGGTCGTTTTCTAGATATAAAAGTGTTCAATGCAAATTTTTATTTCCAGAAAAAACTTCAATTTCTCAAACACTTCCAGAAAGGGAATTGACACTTTTTTGCAAGGTCAACCTGGCAGTGAGTTTGGGTTTTAATTACAGCAAGCACTCATCAGGGTCTTCATGAAGGCCTCCACCTCAAACAGCCCCCAGGTTCATGAGCCTTCATTCCCAAGAGGTGCTTAAATAGCTTTAAAAAAAAAAAAGCTATTAACCACTAGTCTCATGAAGTTAAAAATGAGGGAGAAAAAATGAAAAGCATTTATTTCTGAATGAACAATAACTTTAAAAAATATTACACCATTAGAAATTTTGTTCTATTTATCTGAGGTTTTTGGTATCAGCTAATCTATAAACATTCTTAAAAATACTTTTGCAAGAATTACATCAGGAAACTAATCGGGACAAAATTGTCATAATTACGACAAAATTGCACAGCCAGATATTTATTCATAAAGCTCTGTGAAATATTTCTCAGGTATATGTGAATTTTAGGTCTATTTGCCTAAAGCTTTTAACACTGCCAGAGAGAAAAAAATCATTGTGTGTAGCTGACAGCAGCCCACCATTTAGTTATATTTTAAATTTTGTTTCAAGATATCATCTAGACTAATCACATTGTAGAAAGCCACACTGTGTGTCCTAATGCCATTATTGAATTAAATTGCCAGCACACCCCAGCCAAGGAGACTCTCCCAGCAGTGAGATTAGTGCAGTTCTTCTGCCAGAAAAGCTGCAGGGTTCTGAGGGCTTTGCCAGCAATCGATTTCTTCGGACAGCAGGTGACAAGTATGTGGTGAAGCCATTGCAGTTAAGGCACAGAGGGGCATTTCTGCTTTGGATAGCTGTCCAACACCCAATGCCTCCACTCCACTCGGATGCCAGGTTGTGATTCCATCCCAAAAGCACCTCCTGTGCAAGAGCCATGTTTGCAGTCTTCCTACTGCAAGTACAATTAAGATACAAACCAAGGCCTTGAACAGCAAGCACAATTCAACCAGAGCAGAAGTTCCAACACTGCAGCCCTGCAGCTGCTGAAACACAAAACATTTAAGGAGAATCTCTCCGAGAACCAGAGCTCCAGCTCAGTTCAGAGCCCAGAGGAGGAGCTGTACTGACCTGGCCATCCGAGTCGAAGGCCAGGCAGGCGACTCCGTGCGTGTGCGCATCCTTCAGGACAGACACGGTCTGGACACGGTAGGAATCCCAGATGCAAATGTAGGGATCCTTCCCAACCTGCCCTGTGGCTACCAACGTTTTATCCGGGTGAACTGCGAGGCTGCAAACAACACACTTCAAGTTATAACACACTTTGGTAGGAATGATCACAGCAGCTGTCTTCAAAACGCACTCGACTCCAGTATTTACTTAAAATGTTTTGCTGAGACTGACATGGTGAGTGCACAATACAATTTATCATGTAATAATATTTTAACTAGAAAAAGGAAAAGCGTAACCAGAGAATTTTAAAATAGTTTTGATTGATAAGCTGATTGAGCACAGACTTGGATCTTAGTCTTTCACAGGTTTATAATGGATGATTTCCTACTAATTATTCCTCTTTTTCACATCAGCTCAAATATTCTGAAATATGGCCCAAAAGCTGAATAATGGATATTGTTTACTATGAGAAATATACACAAGAAATCCTCTCTTTATATGCTTAAACATAGCAATCTCAGAAGAGACACAGAAATAAATTGTTTCACCAGAATCAAACCATATATTTCTGTTCACAATCCTTCAAGGACAAAAATAAGAATAAAACCTCTCTGCAGAGTCATATGAATACAAAGGCAGTTTTACACAGTTACCCAGGAAACAAATTTGAACAATGGCTGAGTATGTGAGCTACACATGGAATAAGGAAAAACATCCTATAATAAACTGGCACTCACCAGGTGGCACAGGGAAGCTGAATAATTCTGCTATCCCAGGAAGAGATAAAACTAATTATTAAGAAAAGTTAATAAAAAACCTTAAGAAAGTTTCATAAACATATGCATTTCATGGAAAAAGAGCAATTTTAGCACAATTTAACTGACTGATCTCCCCTGCCCATTCCTCCTTTCCTCCCCAGGCCTGAGTTGTACATTATATTGTGTGTCAGCTAATTCACCTCAGTTCTACACCTATACAGGCAATAAAAGGTGGCACCACAAACTGAGGGTGTGATAGCCATAATTAAGTTAGAATACTTTTCTTCAAGAACCAGAAGGAAAAGATTAATTGGGCTCACCTCTCTCACTGCTAGAGCAGAACTTAATTACATGTGCCACCATTTAGCACAGAGCAGTTCTCACACACCAGAGCCCCCTCTTGGGTTAAGAGCACAAACACATTTCCTAAACATCAACATGTCTGTACTGAATGTCTCTGGTATTTGTTTTATCCTTTTTGATGCATGAAGTCAGCCAGTGGGGGAACTAAAATTAGGGAATAATATCAATTTTTGGCACCTAAATTAGCAGGCTGATTTCCCAGCCCTGCTGAGGACATTCATCTCCTGCTACCAGCCTTTCCAATGCACTCCCCCTGCCCACGTTCAGTCTGGCTGTTAGATAATCAAGGGCTTATTTTTGGCAGACAGAGCAGTGGGCTAGAGGAAGGAAATGAAGCCAAATTTTAAGAACAATTCTTGGTGACTGTTTGTTACCTGTACATGACTTATATGTTTGATGTGTTTTCACCTACAAAAACTGTGAGTGTACCTATACAATATCTCTGTTACAGAGGGCATGGGCTGTCTTCAGGGTGTGAGATTTCCATGTCCTTCCCAGCCTCCTTAAATGGGTATCAACTTCATTGGCTGGGTTTTGAACTGTAAAAGTTCATTTTCTAAGCAAACATCCCAGAGTTAGACCATTCCTAATGGAACCACATCGTTATTTGCATCACTGGAAAACACTGAAATACGGTTACATTTATACAGAAATGAGATTAGAAAAGACAAGGCATTCAAACAACAGCAATTTATGGCATAGAAAACACATTATTACAGGATTAATTCCTATTCTTTCTACAGGGAGGACAACATCTAAGCAAGGGAAGGAATTTCCCAAGAAAATTTGTCTCTGTTTTCCAGTTTGAGGGAAAAGGACACAAACTCCCTCTTGCTAAGGAGCTGGGATGCAAACAAGGGATCAAAGCAGCAGCTGTTGGTGCTGCCCACTGGCCCTGGCAGGCACTTCCCCACATGACAAGAACTTCTCTCTGTGGGAACAGCAACAGGAGCACACCCAGGGAAAGAGGCACAGATCCACTGCTTTGGGAGTGCTCATTCCCCTCCTTCCAGGGAAGCCAAAGAAAGAGATGGGATTCCTGGCTAAATGTACTCATGGAAATTCCAAAGCAAAAACCTCTTTAACCCAAGTGCCTCCAAAGACACTTCTTTTACGCAAACAATCCATTCAGGATGAGCCAATAAAGCTCAGATAATATTTTAACATTATACCTCATTAATAATAGGGTCTGTTAGGAAAATGATCTTTCAGGGAACATTTCCTTTTCCTTCCCTTCAAAGATCAACAAGCCTGCATCTAAGCATCCAAGGCTAGAACTGTGTTAATTTAGGATAATTAAAGATGCCAGACACGTGTTTCAGCAGGGTCTGATGAAATGCCCTATAAAAGTCATTAGTGGATCCATCTGGTCTGGGGGCCTTGCCAGATGGGAAACTCATGCTACCTCCACAATTTCTGTTGCAATAATATCTCACTCCAAGATTATTTTTTTTAATAACACAGTAGAAATCCAAAGGATTAAAATATTTGTTTCTTGTCTACACTGTATTTGTCTATATTGCTTTTCTGTAACAAGTTCCATACACTTGTAAACAGAGTATAGATCTGAAGTTCCAAGACAGAACTAAGTAGAAAAGTTTAGATGTAGCTCAAGGCTCAAAAGCAGTTACAAAGAAGATGGAGGGGCTCTTTCCACAAGGATGCACAGGAAGAGGACAAAGGCAAGAGACACGAGCCGATTTGTGGGAAACATTGTCTGGATACAAGGAAAGCATTCTTCACTAGAAAAACTAAAAATCAGGATGGTTGCCCAGAGAAGTGGTAAAATTTCCCTCACTGGAAAGAGTTCAGGACTTAATTGGCTTGACAGGACCCCAAATAACCAAATCTAAGGCTGTGCTCTCAAGAGAAAGTTGGATTGGACAATCTCTGGATGCACCTTTGAAACCAGAGTTTTCTATGGCTCCAAATACTGAAATACATCAGGAAAGTCTGAAGTAAAGTAAAAATGCATTTTGGCTGGCAGCAGTTAACTTGCATTAGATAATTGCTCTCTGATGCTGCAAAAAGCAAGCACTTCTGTTATCTTTAATAAAGGCATACAGAATTGATGGAGACCTTGGAATGGGTGTATCAGATGAGAGATAGAGGTTTAAATCTCACTTCTCTGGGTCTTTTAAATCTATCGCTGCACTATCCTATTTATCAGATAGACAAAACACTTTTTCACTGCAGCAGCAAAAAACCAAACATTTGGTTTTGTAGTTTTGGTGCATACTTTGTATTTTCTATTTCAAATGCCATATTAATTTGAATCTTATTATAACCAACCTATCAACAATTTGATGTTCATACACATCAAAGCTGGTTTCCAGAACATCCCACCTGACAAAAAAGAAATTACTTTTTGAAAAGGAAACAGACACCTGCAATTCTGAATTAAATCACTGGACTTGTTGAAATCACCGTCTCAGGTGGATTGTCAGCAACTCTTGACAATATAGTTAATCCTCAGGCTTGGGATGCTTTGAACTTTAAAGCAGTGTGCAAATTTGATGTCAATCTAAAATAACTCTAGATCATTAGACACTGATCAATTAATCTCTCCTTCAAATCCAACCAGTTTTAAATTTGGAATAACATTTCCTGTTTAGACAAACCTTTACAAAATCCTGCAGTTTTCTGTACCAGTGTTAGATCATGTTAATGAGACTTGGGGAGAGGCAGATACTGCGTTCTATTAACTCTCTTCAGGAAGTCTCTTCACAAGGAAAGAGTTTTCATTTCTTGTTAAAAACCCTCTACAAACCCCACAGTTTAGCCGAACAGAGAACACAGCAGGTCTTTCTTCAGAATTTAGGTCAAACTTGTGAAGTACTCAGGGCACCGATTCTGTTATGCTTGAACAATGGACATATTAAACAACAATTCTTTTTCTTAGGACTCTGTCTCTGTAGCAAAAATATCTCTGAAGAAACAATATTTCCAAGAAGCTCCAAGCCTGTCCCAAAATAGCCACAATGTGCTAGCAGGTATTTTCTCCTCTGTTGCCTCCTCCTGCTCCTGGCAGGACACCTCCAGGCTCCTGGCAGGCCAGCAGCACATGGGAACACCAGGGAGCTTCTGCATTTTACTGCTCACACGGTGCTAAGGACAGAGCTGTCCTCACATGGCAGCAAAGAACACAGACACTCGCTCAGCAATTCCCCGTTTCTCAGAGCAAAATGAGTTTCTTTCCTCAGTTGTGGGGTCAAAAGGGAACTCACTGTACAGACAGAGCTATTTTAGCAGCAAAATAAGGCAGGATGCAGCCTGATCCCCGTTTCTGAGTACAGCACAAAACATCATCAAGCCCCATTGAAAGGAATAATGGAACAAAGACCAGCAGTTAAATGGAAGCAATTGCAGGGGCCTTCAGGAGCAAGGGATTATCAGAAAAGGAAGAGGAGCCAGAAAAAGGGAAGAAGAAGAAAGTAACAACAAAACCTGCACAAACCCCTCCAGATCTGTAAAAATGGAGAGCACTGAGCAGAAAACTTCAGGAATCTGACAGGTTAATCCTACATTTAATCTTCTCCCAAACGAGTTCTGAAACACCAACACCACAAGCACGTTTTGAGGAAAATCTAGCTCTTAATAACACAGGAGATTGCTGCTCGTGCACAATCACGGCTCCCAACCTTTGGCTCCTTCAGCACAAGCCCAAGACCCACAGAGCAGTGCTGAGCTGGCAGGCAGTTCACACACCACAATAACCAATTTTATTTGGCTTGTACCATAGGGCAGGTGAGGGGGGCTACTGCAGGTGTGCAGAAAAAGTTGGGGAACAGATCTGTTAGCCCTGAGACACAGAGACTCCCTGTGTGCCCATATTTCCATGTATAAGATAGCTGATACACACACAAGTGAATCGCTTTCTTTACACATCTGAACATATAGCTCTAATGATAGTTTTAAATATACTAAATACTGCCACATGCTTCTTGCAAACAACTCAAGTACAGAGCATATTTATCCTGACAAAATAAAAACATAA